GAAGTTCTAGTAGTATGTACCACCTGCGCTTGTCCGGGGACCCTGTGGCGTCGGCATCCGGCGTAGCTGGTGTCGGCGTCGCACTGAGCGCTAGGGCCGAAGCTGCACTGCTCGACTGGATTCCCATTAACAGTCGTTTATGTGCTGTGAGGCTGGAAGGTCATACGAAAGTAAGGAGTAGTAGGCCAGATAGGCGGTGTCTATTTGTTGCCTCTGCCTATTTCCAACCGTATAATGATAGCTAGGGTGGCATACATCAACTTGAGCAAACTCTGGCGCGGTCCCAACGTTAGCCTGGCTGTCAAAGGTCGGGTATACAATGCTTCGGTGTGGGCTGTCTTGCTCTACGCCTGTGAAACCTGGCCTCCCCGGGTGGGCTGAGGATGTGCGGCGACTCTGCGTGTTCGATCATCGCTGTCTCCGCAGGATTGCTTGAGTTGGATGGCATCATCGCGTGAGTAATTCTGAGGTCCAAAGGCGTGTGTTTGAACACAGTGGAGATCACCATTCATTGGGTGTCGTCATCTGGAAACACCAGCTCCGGTGGCTTGGACATGTGCTGCGAATGTCATCCCAGAGGCTTCCGTACAGGTCTCTGTTCGCTGTCCAGCCCTGGGACGGGATGGAAAAGGCGTAGGGGTGGTCAGTCCATGACGTGGCGTCGTGGGATTAAGGATATTTGTGCTAGATTAGCATCGGTTGGTGTGTCACGACTCCCTGGTTGGGGTCCGCGAGACAGCTCAAATCGATGGTTCGAAACGTTATCGGATATGGCCAAGAATCGTAACCAATGGCGAACGTGTTACAATTTCCTTCTTTCTTCCCTTCCTGATGATAGTTAACGAATGCTGTTTGAACTTGTTAAACATGACTGTTTTCCTTCCAGATGAAGTTCTTTATCCGTTTTCTACCTATATTTTTACTTTTAATCTATGTTGTTTTATTATTATTGTGTGGCGCATCTTTCTTGGTGCCATATTGTACCAAGTTTTTTCTGCGTTTAAATAAATAAATAATAAAATTCAATAAGGAATATTACAGTCAAATTGATGGTGTAGCTATGGGTTCCCCATTAGGTCCAATCCTAGCTGATTTTTTCCTCGCTAAATTAGAGAATGGACCACTGAAAGGAGTAATTAATGACATGGATTTCTACTGTCGATATATGGATGACACACTTGTGGTTATGAAAGACGAGAATGATGCAATGAATATCCTTGACAAGTTTAATGATGCACATTCAGCAATAAACTTTACCATAGAGAAAGAAAGTAATGACAGTATCTCATTCCTAGACGTCTTCATGGCAAGGAAAGATGATGGCACACTAAGAAGGAGTGTGTATAGGAAACCTACAACAACAGGTCAGTACACTCATTTTTTGAGTTTTGTACCTTTGAAATATAAACGTAACCTGGTAAAGTGTCTGGTTCATAGAGCTAAGTTAATCTGTTCAGACGACTGCCTCAATGAGGAGCTTAAGATTATTAAAGAATTACTTAGAAAAAATGGTTATCCAGATAAATTTATTGAGAAGAATATGAATTCAGCACCAAGGAGAGTCAGTATTGCTACAGTTTCGAAAAAACCAATGTTCATAAAATTGCAGTTCCTCGGTGACAACATCAGCGAAATCATAACACAGCGCCTGAAGAATGCAGTTAAAAGAGCTTATTATGCAGCAGAGGTACGTTGTCTCTTCAAAACCACCCCTATTCTATGTTCGAGAAATAAGGATAAACTACCTAATTTTGCCTCTTCTATGTGTGTCTACCAGTTTGACTGCAGCTGCGGAGCCAGCTACATTGGGCGTACAATTAGGCAGTTTCATCGTCGTATTTCTGAACATCATCCAGCGTGGTTAAGCAAGGGACAAACAAGATCTATTCGTAGTTCTATTTTAGCACACCTTGTTGATACTGAGCATAAGGTTGATGTGAATACTGCATTTAAAATTATTTATCGCATTCCGACTAATCTTAACTTTGCTCTACGAGTTCGTCTTCTACAGACAGCTGAAGCAATCGGAATCCACCAGAAGAAACCAAGCCTATGTGTACAGAAGAAATTTGTACAGCCACTTTCCTTACCGTGGCCATCGTTACAAGACAGGACTACGTCGCCCCCCTCCCCCTATTAAATTATAATTGTCCAAATTATTTTATTTTTATTTTGACCACTTCATCTTTAATTACGTGTTATCCTTGTAAAATTAATTTATTCTAACCATTTCTACCTTTTAAATGTGTGTATTGATTTTCTTCGTTAATTATCAACCCATTGACATTTTGACACTGTTTAATTATTGTTAACAAACATATCAGTGCCACTTGATTGGTAAATTGTTGTGTATTGTAATAAAAATGCTATACGTGTATATTAGAGTAGAGCCAGAGATGAGGATCTAATTGAAAAGTAAATATTTCTTCGCTCAATCTTTCTGTTTTCCAAATGTCTAAATGGGGATATTTTGTGTATTCTAGAATGGTCGTTATTATCAGTGTCGGTGTTTTGTAAATAGTATCGGTTCGTTAAGTAGGATCACAAAGATGCTTGAATTTAGAATAATAATAAAGATATGGTAGGAAGTAGAATATCAACTAAAATTAGGAAAATTCGACAAAAATTTAGGACCATTCTAACGTAGATGGCCAAGGTAAGGAGAATGTCTGAACTAACTTCTTTTGGACGCACAAATTAGGCTTCTTAATATGGATCCCAACATCCTCAGGAATATTTAGTAGTCGAACTCCTAAGGCGAAATTGAGATTTTTTGGTATGCGGTTAATAACCCGGAAAGCATGGTTAACATCAACTATGTGCTCTGTATCCACAAGGAGAGATAGAATATCGCTACGAATAGATTTTCTTTGTCCTTTAACTTAACTACCATGCAGGGTGATGTTTGGAAATCTGACGAGAAACACGTCTAATTGTACGGCCTATGTAACTGGCTCACTCCACAGGAGCAGTTAAATTGGTAGATACACACTGAAGGGGCGAAATTAGGCAGTTTGTCTTTTACTTCCGAACGCAAAAGAGGAGTGGTTTTGAAGACACAGCGTAATTCGGCAGCGGGGAATGCTCTTTTTACAGCATTTCTGAGGCGTTGTGTTAGTATCTCGCTGATGTTTTCCCCAAGGAACTGCGTTCGTAAGAATAAGGCCTTTTTTGGAACTGTTTGTACCTTGGGCTGCTTTGATTTTAGATTCATATTCTTATCAATAAACTTTTCTGGATAACCATTTTCACTCAGCAACCATTTACTATTATTAAGTTCCTCATCAAGACATTCATCCGATCAGATTTGCTCTTGCTCTATGAACCAAGTACTTTATCAGATTGCGTTCGTATTTCAAGGGCACGAAGCTGCAGAAATGAGTATGCTGACAGTCAGTTGATGTAGGTTTTCTATATGCACTTCTTCTTATTGTGCCATCCTCTTTTCTAGTCATAAGGACGTCTAGCAACGAAGAAATACTAGAGTCTTTTTCTTTCTCAATAGTAAAATTTATTGCAGAATGGACCTCATTAAATTTACCCAGGATGTTCTTTGCTTCCTTCTCGTTCTTCATAATCAAAAATGTATCATTTACACGTACCGACAAAAGAATTCAAGTTCATCAATAACATCTTTCAAAGGCCTATTATTTTCTAGTTTCGCAAGGAAAATATCGGCTAAAATTCTCACCCAATTTCGTCTTTTTTTTTTTTTCTAATGCTTAGTTCATGCGTTGATGATGTAGTTTATTATCTTGAATTGGCTGAACATTTATTCGCTGAACAAACAAAGTTTAATAAGGACGCTGCATTGGGATTTCAAAGTATGCTGCATACACTTATACGATGCAAGGTACGATTTGTTCCTTTCTTTGTGTATTACTATTATTATTATTATTATTATTATCAAACCTCTACCTCAACTTTATAGACTTTGAGAAGGCCTTCGACAGCGTTGACCGCAAAGTAATTTGGAAACTACTCGAGTACTAGAGGCGTACCCCAAATATTCATCAACCTTATTCAACAGCTGTACGACAACAGCACTTGTCAGGTGATCCACACCGGAAAACTCAGTGAGGCATTTAGAGTAAACACAGGAGTCAGACAAGGGTGCTTATTATCACCAATAATATTCCTAATTGTGGTGGACTGGATTATGCGTCAGACAGTGGTTGGAAACGAGAAGACAGGGATATCCTGGACCGACGTGAAGAACCTAGAAGACCTGGATTTCGCGCGTGGATGATTTATGTTTGATGTCACACAAAATCGAAGACTTACAAGCGAAAACCGACAAACTGATCGAAGAAGCAGCAAAGATAGGACTCCAGGTGAACATAGACAAGACGGAGGTTATGAAAATAACCAACCAACAACGACAACAGCAGCAGCAACATCCAGCACCAATCACCATCAGCGGGAGGGATTTGAAAGAGGTTACTTCATTCACTTATCTAGGGAGCATTGTCTCAAGTTATATATGTCCAAACCAAGTTCACTTTTAACAGTTTGAAAAAATTTGGGCATTGGGTATATGATATTCATTATAATAAAGGTTTCTGTATTTCCCAATGAATGAAAAACAAAACGATATTGTAAAAGTAAACAAAAGTAAAAACAATATCATTTTGTTTTCCATTCATTGGGAAATACAAAAACCTTTATTATAATGAATAGCATTGTCTCAACTACAGGAGGAACGGACGAGAATCGGGAAGGCGAGAAACACATTCATCCACCTGAAACCAATCTGGAAATCTTCGTCACTCAGCCTGCATCAACAACAAAATTCGGATTTTCAATACAAACATCAAGTCGGTCAGTTCTTCTATACGTACGGATCAGAAACTTGGCGGGTCACAAAGAATATTTCCAACACCATGTTGCAGACATTTATCAACAACTGTCTTCGTTCTATCCTCAAGATCAGATGGCCAGAAAGAATCACCAACAAGAAACTATGGGAACAAACAAAACAAGAACCAATCGCCCAACAAATTTGCAGGAGAAAGTGGAGATGGATTGGACACTCGCTGAGGAGGCCGTTGGATGACATCGCGCGTCAGGTCATCACTCGAGTGGAACCCGAAAGGGAAGCGGTGAGTGGGATGTCCAAGGGTGACATGGAGGAGATCTTGTGAAGGGGATTTGAAACAGTATGGACTAACATGGATGCAAGTGAAAAGTACAGCAGATGACAGAAACAAGTGGAGACGTGTAGTTGAAGCCCTATGTTCCACTAGGAATCCAAGGGAACAATAATAATAATAAATTATTATTATTAGTGATATGTACTACTTATAAATAATCATTAGTATATCCAGAAATCTCTTTAGAAAAAAGCAATGATTGCATTGTGTGTGTTAGTGAGACAAAAGAAACGCCGGAAGTAGAAGTAAGGCTGTGAGTGTTGCCCTTTTCAATCCTCTTGAAAAGTAGGTGATAGGTGATATAAGGTACGTTGTAGAAGACTTGTCAGTCATTATTGAACTATTTTAGTTTAATTGTTGGTTTGATTGTTTAGAGGACTTCATCGTGAGTTGATATCGGTTAGAGAACCATTTGAAAACTAGTCAAGAATACTGGATAGCCAGTTGTTTCTCCCTCGTCCGAGAATCTTCACAGTACGCTCCCAGAACCCTTCTGGTTACAAGGCTAGCGAAATTGCAGACCATTAAACCACTGCAACCCGATCCAGTGACCAGCTGATTAATTCCAACTTCTTCCAATCGACGAGTATTTGTCCTTACACTCGACCTGCTGTTTTTTTTTCTAAAATTTTCTATTTTGCCTTTTTCTTTTCCTTAAGGATCGTCTTGCTCAGTTTGTCGATGAGTTATGGTGTCGATGGATTATTCTAGAGTTGCCGTCAAAACAAAAAGATGTGACACCATTTTCTAATATCAATATCCCCTATCCATCATCAATTCATGAACAGGTGGAATCGAATGATTTTTTCAGTTTTTCATTCAACGCTTGTCTACCGTCAGTAGATCAAATGGAAAAAGCACTGAATAATCCAAATTCCCTATTCGATTCAATTTTTTATCGTTTGTCGTCGGATAATGATGATCTACCGGCGACTAGTCCACTATGCGGAAAATCTTCTGTATTGGCTAGTCTTAAAATATTGGCCAAGCCTGGATTAATATGTCAGTTGTTGAGAATTATTGAAGCTTTAAAAGAGTCTAAGGTTAGTTAACTAACAATTTCTATATATATAAAATATTCCCATTGTAAAATTTAGAACAAGACATTTAAGCGAACAATATTGTTTTCAAGTAGATCTCAACAGGCTTAACTCTAATATACATAACTTTACAAATAAAAATTCAAATATAAACCAATCTTGGTGTTTTGTCTATAGGATAATACGATGGTGAATATAAATTGTGCAATTAGTCTTAATAGCAGTAGTGATAATAATCATAACAATAATAATTGTTTCTTTGAATTCCTAGAGGAACATAGGGCTTCAGCCGTGCGTCTCCATTGCGTTCCCTTCTCTGCTAGAGTCTTCACCTGGCTCCAAGTCTGCCCACACGTTTTCATCTCCTCTTCACATGACCTCCTCTAAGTCACCCTTGCACTGACGACCGACTCGCCGCTTTCCTTTCGGGTTCCACTCGAGCAATGGCTTGTCTAGTGATGTCACTTGATGGTTTGCTTTCTCAGAGTATGGCCACCCATCCATCTCTCTCCATTTCTTCCTGCCTATTTGTTGCACAACCGGTTCCTGCTGTGTTGGTTTGCTCCCAGAGATCTCTGTTGCTTATCTTTCCTGGCCATCTGATCTTGAGTATTGAGCGAAGACAACTGTTAATGAAGGTCTGTAGTTTGTTTGAGATGCTCTTTATGACGCACCAAGTCTCTGATCCGTATAGCAAGTGCCACTGACTTCACATTGGAGTTGAAAATCCGAATCTTGTTTTTCATGCTGAGTGCTGTTGACCTCCACACAGACTCGAGAGTAGTGAAAGCTTGTCTTGCTTTGATATCCTCGTCAGTTCCGCCAGTAGTTAAAACGATGCTTCCCAGGTAGGTAGGTAAAAGAGGTTGTTCCTTTCAGGTTCCTCCCATTTATGCTGATTGTTGTCTGTTGTAGTTGCTGTTTCTGTTGCTGTTCCCCAGGAATCTTCATCACCTCTGTTTTCTCTATGTTCACCTGAAGTCCTATCTTTGATGCTTCTTCTGCCAACTTGTTGCTTTTCGCTTGCATATCTTCCAGTTTGTGGGAAATCAAACATATATCATTCGCGAAGTTCAGATCCTCCAAGTTTTTTGTGTGAGTCTATTTTATGCCTATTTTCCCATTGCCCGCTGTTTGTCGCATTATCCAATCTACTGCAATCAGGAAAATCATTGGCGATAGTAGACAGCCAGCTTGTCTTACTCCTGTCCTCACTTCGAAGGATTCCGTAAGTTTCCCGTTGTGGATTACTTGGCATGCAGCATTGTCGTACAGCTGTTGGATGAGATGTATAATTGTCGGTGGCACCCCGTAGTAGCGAAGTAGTTGCCAAATCACCTCTCGATCGACGCTGTCGAAAGCATTTTCAAAGTCGATGAAGTTGAGATAGGGAGGTGATTGCCATTCCAAGCTTTGTTCAATGATGATCCGTAGTGTGGCGATCTGATCAATGCATGACTTGTTTCTCCTGAATCCAGTCTGTTCCGGTCGAAGTTTTTCATCCAGAGCATGTTTGATTCTCTCCAGGATGATGCGACTTAGTATTTTGCTTGGGAAAAATAATAATTATAGTAATAATAAGAATGGTTTTATCAATAATAAGGATGAAAAAGTGAGGCAATCTGTGATAACACGAATAATGAAAAAAAAACAGTATGATTAAACAAACAACTATTCAGGTGGAAGTAGTCGATAAAGGCTAGTAAAAGCAAATGAACCGATTAAGTAATGTTAGATTGTAAGGGAAGTAAATGAGACACGTTTTAATGAAGATGTGATAAGATTAAGGGACGATAAGAAAGGGGTTGAAAATACAAACAAGGGGTGGTGTAGAAGTCATTTGTTGGTTATGTCTTAATAGGCCAACAAGGGGGGATAATGGCTGTACGAACTTTTTTTGAATACATAGTTTAGGTTTAGTATTTCGAATGCTTATCACCTCAGCTGTGTGCTTGCAGTAGACGAATACGAAGTCTATTGGAAATTACTTTGAATTACTTTGAAGGCTCTCATTTTCTCCACTACATGACCACTATTAATTAAGTGTGACAAAATTGAGCTACGGATTGTTTTTGTCTGTCCTTTGCCAAAACACCGCGAATGGAGATGTTCACTAACACGTTGACTGAGCTGTCCATTAAGTCGTACGCCCAACATAACTTTCACCGCAGGTGCAGTTGAATTGATAAATGCGCATAGATATGTGGCAAAATTATCAAGCCTATCCTCCGTTTGCGTCCGAATCATTCGTCGGCTAGAGAATGACAAACATAGGTGTGCTGCATAAAATTTCCTTCGTATACTCCTAGAAAGTCTCTGGAATAAAATCTCACTTGATAAGTCACCATTAAATTGTAACTTAATAAATAGAGGTTTTTTTACGTGCAGTCAGAGTCTCCGGTTTTTTCTCTCCGATGTTTTCATATGTTTCCTTATGAAGTTTTATTTGTAAACTTATATATATATATATATATATATATATATATATATATATATATTGGTGTTAAGCCTGATGAGATCTAATTGAAAACAAAATTGTCCGCTTAAATGTGTTGTTCTAAACAATTTCTGTCTTTTTGGATTTTTTTCTTTGATTCGTTGGTTGATTGGCTGACTGGTTGGTTGGTTGGTTGGTGGTTGGTTATGTACTTTAGCTGTCGCCTAACTGTTTAACTGTTATTTATCTAATTGAATTGATTTAGATTTTCCCGTCGATTGATTGGACCGAAGTTCTGCCCGGTCTCAGGTTGACATGTCGGCTTCTCTTTGTGCAGATGCTTCGACGATGTCTGGGAATGTAATTAGAATTTAATTGGTGGATGATGATGGCTAGCAGGGGAATACAGGATAAGGCGCATTTCGTCCTTTTTGGGATTGGCTCGTCAGCCAGTGGATGTACCTGCGCTCCCCAGTGAGTCGTGGATGATGTTCCCCACACCGAGGCTTGAACCCAATGCTCATAGTTTCAAACGCCAAAGCGTTATCCACTAGACCACTTGGGCCATGAGAGTTGCATCTTGTGCAACGGGTCATACATCCAGATGACGAGTACCAAATAGGACGAAATGCGCATCCTGTATTCCACTGCTAGTCACCATGCACCAATTAAACTCTGCTTGACTGTTAATCAGGGGTATACAATTAACCTTGGCGGATATGTTCACGACAGTATTGCGAAAAGTTTGGAAGGAAGGAAGATCACCTTGTGATCGGAAGAGAGATTAAAACTTGAATCTTTGCAAAAAGCTAGCACGGAATCATTCTCCTCTCCATGTCAATTCGAATCATCCTGGAAAGGGAGAGAAAGAGAGAGGGAGAGTAAAGGTGCGCTAGATAGAAAACTCAGTTCTTTCGAAATAAATTGGATTCAGAAAAAAAGTTCATGTATATTCAACAAATTGTAACGCTACGTATCAACATCGATCAGGGCATAGAATGGAAGTCAACTCTTTGCCTCAACTTCATTGACTTTGAAAACGCCTTGCACAGAAGTTCACCAGTTCGAGACTCCACTCTCTCTCCATGTACTGCACAAAGCAAGACAACACAGTAAAGACAGATTCGAAAGACCGACAGGTTATAAACAGAAATGTGAGTGAGCGGAATATAATAGTAGTAATATGGAAGAACAATAGTTTTATTGGATATTATAAGTGACAAAGAGTGGATGCATCTGGGCCATTAATGAGAACGATTTTGAGCCATATCACCGATAATTGTCTCCAGGCTTCATTGGTTCTTACCATCCTGAGCACCCCAACCTCCCCTACGTGGCTGACTGACTGACTGGCTAGCATAAACTGACTGTTATGGATTTCATTGACTGATATCACCATGTTTTGGTTTCACCACCGACTACTAGCTTTTTTCCAAAAACCTGATTCATCCTATGTCAGCTGACGTTGCTGGTTGTCGAGGAAGACGATGAATGGTTTGTCATGCATGAATCACACCTATCCTAACCATCTCAATCGATGTAACTTCACAACCTCATTAATTGATTTTTCCTCCTTATCTAACACCCGACCGATGCCTGACTTCAATGTTAATCACCCTATTATACTATAACACCACTTAACACGGGAGATGGAATTCAGACATCTGTGATCAAAGACAGCTGGCTGGACAGGCTTTTCATGTCTTCCACTTTGAATGGTCATGTCTCATTCGCAACCAGCCATAAAGGAGGATGTAGTGAACTACTGAGCAGTACACACATCCTTTAATTTATAGTCAGCCGGGCATCACGTCTACGCCAGAGATGGAGTGAATTGGCGTATGCCAAACTAGCCTTCTGTATCCGTAGTGGGATTTCACCATCGACCAACCAGTTGGAGGCTGGCTGACGCCACTTCCCAAACAAATGGTCAACACCCTCAGACACCACTTCACTCCTGCTTATCTTTAAGGTAAGAGTGAGTCGATGTAGTCCAGTCCTGTAGGTAGCATCATCATTTCACGTTTGACAAAGGGAGTAAATCGCATGTCTTGTTGTACAGATCACTTAATTAAACATATGTAAATATCTTTCGGTATTATTTCAAATTCTCAGCAGTTGATAAGATCCAATGAGATCATATCCCCTTGTTCAAATTGTCTTTGAGGTTGAAGTCTTGTCTGACCTATTGTTGACACAAGGTTTTCGATTAGCGCACTCCTTATAGCACGTTGTGGTAAGGTAGTGTTCTTGAAGCTTTTTAGATAGGATGCACGTCGAACGACCAATGCACCTGACTTCACAGCAACAGATGAACTAATATATGCACATAGAAAGGGTCAGATACGAGATCTTGCCCTCAAGGCTTCTGCAGACCGATGGCCGACTAGACGGTAAGCTACAGACATTTGATTTCACTGATATCAGTTAGTAGAGTACACTATAGAAAGTCGTGACTATTAGAGTCTAGCAGATTTAGTGTGACTGTCAGTGACGTTAAAATTCTGAATTGACAGAAGTAAAGAATTCATGGACCGCTGGATTCCGTGCCAGTGACTGTGAACGGTTAACAAGATCGTTTTGTAACGTGATAGTTCTGGATTCGATCTCCATAGCTATAGGTCCATGAATGCTCACTGATGAAGAGTCCCAAACTAGGACGAAACAGATGTCAAGTACTCCAGTACTGGATTTCAATGGTTCTCTAACTGATTTCAATCAGTGATCAAACTTGAGAGTAATCAAATCCCTACAAACTAACACTTGGTGTTTACTAATGACTGGCTGACTGGCTGAGCCTGAATAGCTCAGTGGTAACGTCTCTGACTGCAGCAGTGGGTGATGCAGGTTCGAATCTCAGAAGGGACATCAGTTCCTTCAAGGTTGCAGATACGCCTTGCTGATGAGTGCCAACTAGCACGAAACCTAGGTCCAAGGCTTCCTGTGGCCGATTGCCTCCAACCATCTAGTACCAACAATGACTGGCTGACTATATAGGACAAAGTTGTCTGAAGCTTTAGCAGGCAGTTGTGACCGCCAGAGTCCACCTGATCTTGTTTTGTGGACAAGTATTCCCCAATGACGTTGGCTGGCGATAGTGCTGAAAATCTCGCGTAATCATAGTGCCATTGATGCTGGGTTGGAAGTTGGTTGCACGTGTGCGTGTATGTCCATCAGAGGTGAAAAGCGAAATGGCAATGTTCAGAATGAAGTTATCATTTCTGTGCACACACACATAGGTACTAATACCAGGAGAAAGATCATCCGAAATGCACTCGAGTGGTATAAGGAAAAGTCAGGAGGGAAGGTGCTACTCAAGGTTAAGGAACTTTGAAAGGTTCACCCATAGGCAGAAGCCTGCTTCAAGTGGGAGATTTTTCAAGATAAAGAGTAGGTGGGAAAATAGAAGAAGCGAGAGTTATATGAAAAGCTAATTATCAATCTGAAGAACTGGACGAGCTCAACATTTTGATGTGTATATACATCTTGTCTTATTAAGGTTCCTCGGAGGGGAAAGAGCCAGGTTTACGCCAATGTAAGGCTGTAGGATACTTGGCGGTGGGAGTGAATATTTTGTAACGACAGAAGACAAAGGCTAGGCAACAGATTGTTTATTGAGAAAATCAAGAGATATTTATAGCGTTTCATGTGCATTATTGTCAGCGGAGAAGCAACGTCTCTTCTGATTGGTTTTTTTTTCTTGCTGAAGGTTATTCTGTACTGCTTGTGACCAACTGTTTCTCAGAAAGTTAAGCCATATATATATATCTGCGAATCGTATTTGCACACGTTAAGTCTGCTGTGTGATTGGTTGGTGGTGAGTTCCTCAAGGTTAAGCTTTGTTATTGTCCTTTTATTCATGATCCCGATTCGGGGCGTAAACATTGACGTAAATTGTTGTCTGAAATTTTCGGCTTGGAACCAGCTCCCATCATATTAGTAGTGATTTGTGAGGTGATGTCTTATTAAAGAAGGCGAAAAAAAAGAATCCAACGTCAAGAATAGAAATAACATTCACGATTCATTTCATTTGAAAGATCTGACAACTTCAAGTACTCCCTTATGGATAAAGTTTTATTTTGATAAAATCACACAGTGGTATTATACAGTGAGTAGTCTTTACTGATGATAACCACGTTTCGAGCACAATTTATTACTGTTCATAATCATCATATCAAGACATTACTCACACAACCTTCTTGCTTCGTTTATATACATGAGTACAAGTTGATGATTAGACATTTGAATAAAACCAATCAATATAAGATAAAGTACATTCAGAAATAATAATATTAGTGTTATCAATAAAATACAGTCAGATGGGAAATAAGATGTTCTTATAGTAAAATAAATAAGTAACTCGTTAGACTCTTATTATGTGTGAATTGAATACATTTTAACGTTATTTATTATCCTCCTCAGATTTGACGGGTAATATTATCTCATATATCTCTGGTATTTACGTTGAGTCATTTCTGTTGCATGTGTTGGGTGTAGATTCACTAGATGAGCCAGAATTCTGTAATCAATCTCTCTCCCTCCACCTACCTATATTACTTTCTAGAATTTTGACTCTGTCCCTCCCACCCTATTGTGTGATTGTATGTTAATACATGCAGTACAATCGCTGAGTTTGTCTTTCTAAATTACTTATCTTCATGGGATCAATCATTCTAACCTTAACTAAATTCTTATGTCCCGACAATCTGACTACCTCTCGCAGTCAGCTCTCACCATAATTTCAGTATGCTTCAAGGAAGGGATACCTAATTTGAAGAAGAAGGCACTACTAACACTTAGAGAGAGAATGTGTAGCTTAAACTATTTATTGTTTCCCCTAACATTCATTTTTCTTTCTCTCTTTCTTTCTCTCTGTGATTACACACAGACTCGTATTTATGAATTGTTCAATCAAATTTGGACGTATATCTTTAAACCTTGGCTTAAAAAGGTCCCATGTGTATCCGGTTCAGAAATGGGTTGGCCAGAGTTAAAGGTTAGTTTGTTTCTGTTTGCTCACTCACTGTGTGCATGCGATCTGCTTTTATTACCTCATTCATCAAGTAGGCAAGCAAGCAAGCATCAATGAATGCCCCGCCATACACTACTTACTGACCGACAAAGATAAGTAGTTGTGTTGTATACCACTGATTCGGCGGTTGTGTGAACTGAGTCGAACTGTGTGTGTGTGTGTACCGTTAATAAGTTAGGCTATAAATGGGCAGAACGGCGTGTGTGTGTGTGGGGGGGGGGGGTGGGGTACGGTGTTTAGATCACTTCTATTCGGATTGACTGGCTAACTAACTACTCAAATCAATCAATCAGTAGTATATGTACGCAAGTGGAATTTATGTAAAGTGCTAAGAAAGGTAATCGGCGATTAGTCCTTGACGTTGATTGGCGTGTATCCACAACCGTGAAGGAAATGATATCCTTCGTGTGAGGCTCGACACAATGGAAAATTCAGTGAATCTTCTTAAATGACGACAGAAGTAGGATAAGGCCGCCCCACCACCTACTATCACCGATGATATTCCCAACTGTGGTGGTCGATAAGAAAACTCCTGAAGATCTGGAATTCGCAGACGATTTGTGGTCTAATGTCGCATAAACTCGAAGACTAACAGTTGAAAACCAACAAGTTTGTAGAAGAGCTGGCGGTGGAGAGTGGATGGATCTCAAGACAGATGTGGTGGAAATACCTAACCTAACCGGCAACAAGCACCAGTCACTATCAACGGGAGAAATTTGAACGAGGTTGTTATGCACTCGTCGCCAATATGTTATGGGTTCGTTGCCGATATTATGGTGTGACAGAGTGTGAATATACGCTAATGAGATATAACGGACGATAACGTAAAGACAGGTACTGATGAGTAGTCAATTTGTCCTGATGCGAAGAGGTAAATCAGAAGACCACCACGGTCACCAATTATTTTATTATTATTGTTCCCTTGGGTTCCTAGTGCATACTGTTTCAACTCTTCTTCACACGATCACCTCCATGTCACCCTTGGACGTCCCACTCGAACGATGGCCTGACGCGCGATGTCACCCATCCAGTGGCTTCCTCAGCGAGTGTCCAATCCATCTCCACTTTGTCCTGCATATTTGTTGAGCGATTGATTCTTGTTTTGTTTGTTCCCATAGTTTCTTGTTGGCGATTCTTTCCGGCCATCTGATCTTGAGTATAGAGCAAAGAAAGTTGTTGATAAAGGTCTGCAACAGGCTGTTGGAAATATTCTTTGTGACCCGCCGCCAAGTTTCTGATCCGTATAGAAGAAGTGACTGACTTGACGTTTGTATTGAAAATCCGAATTTTGTTGTTGATGCAGGCTGAGTGACGAAGATTTCCAGATTGGTTTCAGGTTGATGAATGTGATTCTCGCCTTCCCGATTCTCGATTTGACATCCTCGTCCGTTCCTCCTGTGGTTGAGACAATGCTCCCTAGATAAGTGAATGAAGTAACCTCTTTCAAATCCCTCCCGTTGATAGGGATTGGCGCTGGATGTTGCTGTTGTTGTTGTTGTTGTTGGTTGGTTGGTTATTTTCATAACCTCCATCTTGTCCATGTTCACCTGGAGTCTTGTCTTTGCTGCTTCTTCGACCAGTTTGTCGGTTTTCGCTTGTAAGTCTTCGATTTTGTGTGACATCAAACGTAAATCATCCACGCGCGAAATCCAGGTCTTCTAGGTTCTTCACGTCGGTCCAGGATATCCCTGTCTTCTCGTTTCCAACCACTGTCTGACGCATAATCCAGTCCACCACAATTAGGAATATCATTGGTGATAATAATAAGCGCCCTTGTCTGACTCCTGTGTTCACTCTAAACGCCTCACTGAGTTTTCCGTTGTGGATCACTTGACATGTGCTGTTGTCGTATAGCTGTTGAATAAGGTTGATGAATATTTGGGGTACACCATAGTACTCGAGTAATTTCCAAATTACCTCGCGGTCAACTCTGTCGAAGGCCTTCTCAAAGTCTATAAAGACGTTCACGAATAGATATATGTATTTTCCAACAAGGAAAATTAACTGTCACACAAGAGTGTGAGTGGGAAAGTACTAAAGAGTACGAAAAAGGTGTGAAAGTGTGAATTAACTGTACGATACAACAGTATATATATGAAAATGACTAATATACATGAACCAATAAAACAGAGGGTAGTTTTTCTTATCACCATTGGATTCGATCAATATACACATAGTAAAAAATATACCAGACTGTCCAAACAAAGCAGACATCATCATGTGACTACATATCAGAGGTCACCTAATTCACTTTATCCAGCTAGCCTCGTTTCAAGTACACAAGTAGGCAGTATAGATGAGGATGTGTGAAAGTCAGGATCAAAAAGGCAAGGTAGACCTTTATCAATCTAAAATCAATTTGGAAATCTCCTGCACTCAGCATAAAGAACGAAAGGCTTATTTTCACCACCAATGTTAAATCAGTCAGTTCTTCCAAATGGGTCAGAAACTTGGCGCGTCATGGAAAGCACTTCTAACAGCTGCCTTCGCTCCGCACTGAAGAGCAGATGGTCAGCAAGAAAGAAAGAAAGAAAGCGATAAAGAACTCTAGGAACGAACCAACCGACAGATTATCACCCAATAAATATGCAGTAGGAATTGGAAATGAATCAGAGACACACTGAAAGGATTGTTGAGTGAAATCGTGCACCAGGCAGTGGCGACGGTGGCGTCGTCGTCGTCCGAGGATGACATGAAGGAGATGAGAGCTTATGGACAATCGTGAAGCCGGTTAAATAGGACTTTAGAGGACAGACTTAAATAGCAATGTGCTGGTGACGGATGATTTAATTTCCCTATTGTTGTTGTTATCATTATCCTGTGCCTGTTTGACATGCATGTCATCACTAGTATTATTATTATGATTATTATTATCACTATCACTACTGTTATTTATTTTATTTTTACGTTTCCATACATACTTCCTGATTAATTTATCAGGGTAATGTAGAACAAATAATAATAATAATAGTGACGACATGCATGTCAAACATGCACAGGATAATGACAACACCAACAATAGGGAATATAAATCATCAGTAGTACTTCCTCCCATACAAAGAAGGAACCTCGGAAACCTTACGGCGGAGAATTCTTAACAATGCAGGCAGGAATAAAAGTGGTTGGCATTCAAACCCATAATCTCAATTAGAAATAAGCTTTGTCAGTTAAAGCGTCCTGCCTGTGAAGACAATAACAAACAAAACAATTTAGTTTATCTAATACCCTGTCTGCTGGAATGATTGTCAGGTCAAACACATAGGTGGAAGTAGTAGAACGGGGCAGTCAGTCAGACTAGCGGAGCACAAAAACCCAGCAGCGAAATCTAGATTAGTTGACCAGAATAAGATAAGAAATCTAGAGGATAGTTCAGCTATAGCACTCACTACATGCGGTCACCAAAGAATAGGATGGGATAAAATGACAGTTTTGAAATCTGATGTCACAGAGTGGAGGAAGAGATTGATAACGAACGCTTTGTTTATCGAATCAACTACAAATACATGTAATAGGAATGATTCAACACTTGTTCAGTAGGACACTTGGAAGTTTGTCCTACCGCCAACTACGATGACAACGAATAGGGGCGAATAAAGAAAACTATAAAACTGAAGTTTCGAAGTCATCTGATTATAATTAATGATATGATTATGAACAGTGATGAATTGTATTCGAAACTTCGTCATCCAGTAGATAATATTACTGTTTCACTGTGTGTGTGTATGTGATATCTAATAAACAAATCAATATGGAATTACATACTACCCCACCACAGTAGTGCCCAAGTTGTACACATATATTAACATCATTTCACACTTCCATATTAGTTTGTTTATCAGATGTATCACACAGTCACTGAAACAGTATTATTATTTACTAGATGACACAGTTTCGAACACAATCTATTGCTGTTCATAATCATTTCATCAATTATAATCACACGACTTCGAAACTTGAGTTTCATAGTTTTCTTTGTTCCCTCCTATTTATCGTCGTACGTGTGGTAGTAGAATCTTCCAGATGTCCGGTTGGACAGGTGTTGAATCATTTCTATCACACGTATTTTCCGTTGTCAATCCTGCTACCTCAACCCTGTTATATCAGATTTCAAAACTGTCATTTTATCCCATCCTATTCTTTGGTGACCGCATGTAGTGAGTGCTATAGCTGAACTATCCTCTAGATTTCTTATCTTATTCTGGTCAACTAATCTAGATTTCGCTGCTGGGTTTTTGTGCTCCGCTAGTCTGACTGACTGCCCCGTTCTACTACTTCCACCTATGTGTTTGACCTGACAATCATTCCAGCAGACAGGGTATTAGATAAACTAAATTGTTTTGTTTGTTATTGTCTTCACAGGCAGGACGCTTTAACCGACAAAGTTTGTTTCTAATTGAGTTTGTGAGTGGTTTGAACACCAACCACTTTTATTCCTGCCTGCATTGTTAATAATTCTCCACCGTAGGGTTTCCGAAGTCCCTTCTTTGTATGGGAGGAAGTACTACTCATGATTTGTATTCTCTATTGTTGTGTTGGTGTTGTCATTATCCTGTGCATATTTTACATGCATATCGTCATTGATATTATTATTATCACTATCACTACCATTATTATTATAAATTTTATTTTTATATTTCCATACATACTTTCTGATTAATTTACCAGGGTAATTATTAATTAAGTTTCAAAGCTTCTCTTATATGCCTCACTTCCTGTCTTAAATTTTGCTTGCTAATACTTAGATTTTGTGGCCCTATTACTTAAACATTTCACCAAGAGTGGAGGGAGCAGGATTAATACCGAAAGCTTTGTTTATCGAATCAAGTGACAGGGAATACGTGTAATAGGAATGAATGATTTAACACCTGTCCACTCACCCGGACATCTGGAAAATTCTACTACCCCTACCTAAGACGATAAATAGGAGAGAACAATGAAAACTATTAAAAAACTGTAGTTTCGAAGTCGTGTGATTATAACTGATGAAATGATTATAAACAGTAATAAATTTTGTTCGAAACATTGTCATCCCAGTAAATAATACTGTTTCACTGACTATCATACATCTAATAAAGAAACTAATTTGAAATTCAAGTATTAGTTTGTAGGGATTTCATTAATTGTGTACAGGATTTCACCATGAGCTGACATCAGTTAGAGAACCATTGGTAAACCTGCAAGGAGTACTGGGCAGGTGTTTCGTCAGCCTAGTTTGGGACTCTTCAGCAGTACGCACCCACCGGGGTTCGGACCCAGGACCTTCTGGTTACAAGGCTAGCGAGCTCGTATACCATTAAGCCACTGGGACCCGATCCAATGGCCAGCGCATGAATTCTAACTTCTGCCAATTCACGATATAGCGCAACCGCTAGCCAATGTCTTTGACGAGTATTTGTCCTCACACCCGACCTGCTGCACCCTACTGGTCACGACTTCCCATTGGAACCTCAGGTAACTACATACTACCTAAATAGGGCCAGTCGCCAGTGAGCATCTCATTGGTATTCAAGTATTGGTTTGTAGGGATTTCGTCCCAAACTAGGACGAAACAGCTGTCCAGTACTCCCTGCAGGTTTACCAATGGTTCTCTAACTGATGTCAGCTCATGATGAAATCCTGTAACTAATTTGGAATTACTTACTACCACAGTAGTGCCCAAGTTTTACACACATCTATATATTAATATGATTTCATACAATATTGCATGACATATTATATACTCGCAGTAATTGTTGTCTTTCCTCATTTTCTTCTTTCTTGTTTTGTTTTTGTGTTTGTAGTGCCAATTGATTAATCAATCTCGGCATGATAAATTAGATATCGACGTATCAGTGAATAGTACTGCTAGTAGCAGTAATAATCGTAAGAAGACAGCTTCTACCGCGGCGGCTAATGACGATGATAACCGTGGTGTCTTATGTTACTTCAATCTACTGTTAATAGCACCAAATATGAATACTTCTACTGCTACTACTGCTACTACTAATATTAGTGATGAAAGGAGTGCAGAAAGAGTCAATAATGATAGTCATAATAGTCGTTCTCGTCGTAAGAGTACTGATATAAAAACACGCAGAGGCAGTCGAGGAGGCGTAGAAGGAAGACGAAGCGAAGGGGAAGACAAAGACGAAAAAGAAGCCGCTGCTAAGAAGTTGATCAACAGTTCATGTAAACAATTGTCTAATGCATTTAGCGATTTACATAAGTATTTCTTTGGTCTGAAATTTATTCAATCATCCAATAATACTAATAATAGAGAGGAAAATGTCGGTAAAGGAGGAGTCCTCGATGTCAACACTGATATTGATGGTGATGGGAATGCAGATGATACAGCTAAACGTGTCATTGACCTGCTAATCAACAACAACACCATCGATAATGATATCGAAAATAGTCAGCCAATTTGTTGTTTATTCAGTCATGAATTAGTCAATGAATTAATCAATGGACGTTTCAATGCTGATGTGTTCTTCACAGATCATCACGGTGATGATGATGATGATAAATCGATAAATTTTGAGTCAATGTCAGCATCAATTACTGACTCTGTGAGACAATTGATTCATGTTGGAATAAGTACAGGATTTCTATCAACAGAGAAACAACTTTCATTGAATAGTACTCAACAACAACAGCAAGTGTCAAGTTCTAATAGTGGAGAAACAAAATTAAGTGTTTGGCTTAACAATCTCTCCTTGTTGAAGCATAAACGTAAAGCAAGCTGTATACTAGAGCAGCTGCGTCAATTACTGGCTGATCGTGAACTCTTCTATTCAATGTGTCGTCCAGCGAATGAAAGCGTAAAATGTGAGAAGAAGAGGGAGCAGGAGGAGAAGGAGGCGAATCCTGCAGATATCGATCATATTAATGCTGGTGACGATGATGATGATGAAGGTATCTTTGAAGAGGAAGAATTCATTCTCAGTGATGCTGGTGATAATGATAATAATAATAATAATGGTCCACTGAAATCACGATCATCATCGGGTTTGAATAGCGCGAGTAAATATGAGCATATTGTCTCTAGACTACTGAAATCCAAGTGTAATCTACGTGATATCTCGAGGCATTTAGATCTTGGACAATTCGATTTTCCTGACTGTATGGTAAGTGTTTCATTTTGTAATATTAATTGGTTACGCATTTGACGGCTTTTGACTGTGTGCCTGTGCTGAGACCAACTTTTTGTTAAACAAGCTTTCTGTCTGTCTGTATTTTCGACATAGAACTTTGCAAATATGTGCGTCAGTTCAAGTCGCCAAACTCCTTGCATGTAGCACACAAAACAAGAGAAGAAAGTAGGAGAAATGCATATTGGAGACGGTAAACAGAGGTGTGAGACAAAGGAATTGTAATAACGAAGAACAAAACAGTTTCATTGGAAATCATAAGTCACAAGGAGTGGATGCATCTGCGCTAGTCATTGAGAACGATTTTGAGCCATATCACCAATTGTTTCCAACCATTGGTTTTTACCGTCCCGAGGACCCCAACCAGTCAAGAAGTCTACACCTTCCTACGTGGCTCAAACTAACTGTTGTAGATTTCATTGACTGATGAAGCCATGTTTTGGTTTGACCGCGGCTAGCTCTTTTCCAGCCTTACCCTATATCAGCTAACATTGCCTGTCGAGGAAGGCGATGACTAGTCATACGTAACACATATCCTAACTATCTCAGTCGATGTAATTTCACAACCTCGTCTATTGATTTCCTCTCCTTACCTAGCACTCGACGCGTAACGTCAATATTGCTCACCTTATTGTACCACTTCACACGGGAGATAGAACACAGACACCTATGATCGAACACAGCTAATCTTTTCATGTCTTCCACTCTCAGTAGACAGGTCTCACAGCCATAAAGGAGGACGGAGTGTACTGCTGAGCAGTACACCCACCCTTTGGTTGATAGACAGCTGGATATCACGTCTTCGCTATAGACGGCGTAAACTGGAATATGCGAAACTATCCCTCTGTATTCGTGCTGAGATTTCGTCAGAGATCAACCCGCTGGCGTTGGCTGATGGTACTTCCCAAATAAGTGAAGCGGTCAACGTGCTCTACCACTTCACTTCCTATTTCTTATCTAGGAGTCGGTGTAGTCCAATCCTGTAACATCATCTTGCACATGGCGGGAGCGAATCGCATGCCAAACATCCTTAGATTGCAGCTCAGGGTGTGCAGAAGACACTGCATTTTGTCAGCGTCCTCTCCTAGAAGAACTATATCGTCTGCATATTCTAAGTCAATGAGATTATTCCCTGGTAGCAAGTCAATCCCTGAGTCTCTGAAGTGAGTTAAGGTTAAGTCCATTAGTATATCTACGATGAAATTGAATAGGAATGGGAATAATGGGCATCCTTGACGGACGCCACTAGTCGTCACCACTTCAGATGACAACTCGCCGTAAGCCCTCACCTGGCTGCATGAGTTCGAGTAGAGTGCCTTAATCAGTGCAATGTATTTTCTCGGCATTCCTTCCCTTCACAGCCAAGCAACGCCAGAGAACCTCTCGGTCGACAGAATCGAATCCCGCCTCTAGCTCGAGAAATATAATGATTGTTGGACGCCGGTAAGAATGCCTATGTTCTAGAATCTGTCTAAGGGTGAAGATTTGATCCATACAACAAGCTTGCTGACGACACAAGCACAGTGTTGGACAACTAATAAAAGTGGGTTGCATTCCATAATTTTTTTATTTTACATTGCGAAGTCCTCCACTGCTTGCGCTTCACTTACTGTAGACTTGATGTTCTCCCTCCTGAAGGAATTGTTGTTCTTTCTTCTTTCATGATTTATTTGTCGTATTGTGATGAAGTGCATTTTGTTAAGTATGCCGACGATCTGACTGTTGTTTCTACGCCGGCGAGTTACTTCTCACAGTTAGACTGTTTCAAAATGAATCACTTGTTATCACAAATTAGTCAGTGGTCCTTGAGGTCAAATGGTCTTAAGTTAAATCCCTCCAAATGTCAGTCAGGGGGGGGGTAATTTCACTTTCTGGCACAAGGATGAATTACGTGAACTGGTTAGTTCATGTGATTCTACTGTCATAGATGACACAGGGGTTGAAACTGAGTCGAATGTTAAATACCTTGGACTGTGTATTTCCTCTAATCATCTCTCCTGGTCTTCCCACGTCATGTTAGTTTCTTGAAGGATATTTCGTTTGACGTTCTATGGAAGGAAGTAAAGGTAGTTTGGTATCACCCAATCGCTACTTTCTAAGTTTGATAATTCCTGTATTCTACCTATCCTTTTTTTTACTGCTCCCCCACACCTTAATATTTCCTGGGCTACTAGAAAGACTTTGTTACACCACGAAGGTCACTAGAAGTTGTCAGTAGGGTGAGTGGGTTGTCGCTAAACCAGCTCGTTAATACTGTTGTAGATAGACACGTGGATCCCTTCAAGAAATTAGCAAATATTATCTTGTCAGACCTTAAGCATCCTCTCCATTACACAATCCTCTCCTCGCATTTCACTAGGTGTCTGCGTTCTATCTCCCGTGTGAAGTGGTGTAATAGGGTGTGCAATATTGAGCTGGTTAGGCATCGGTCGAGTGCTAGGTAGGTGGGAGGGGAAATCAATCGACGAAACTGTGAAATTACATCGACTGAGATGGTTAGGACATGTGTTACGTATGCCCAGTTATCGCCTTCCTCGACAGGCAATGTTAGCTGATATAGGATTGGTCAAGCTGGAAAAGAGCTAGCGGCGGTCAAACCAAAACATGGCACCAGTCAATGAAATCTACAACAGTTAGTCTAGGCCACGTAGGAAGGTGTAGACTTCCTGACTGGTTGGGGTCCTCGGGACGGTAAAAGCCAATGGTTGGAAACAGTTGGTAACGTGGCTCAAAATCGTTCTCAATGGCTGGCGCAGATGCATCCACTCCTTGTGACTTATGATTTCCGATGAAACTGTTTTGTTCTTCGTTATTACAATTCCTTTGTCTCACACCTCTGTTTACTGTCTCTAATATACATTTCTCCTACTATCTTCTCTTCCTTTGTGTGCTACATGTAGGGAGTGTGGCAACTTGAACTGACGCACATATGTGCAAAGTTCTATGTCGAAAACAGACAGACAGACAAAAGCAACTATAGAAGACTATATGCTCAGACGACTAAGTACAAAAACTCTGCGACACATTATTTGTCACATATTTTTTAAGATGAGAAAAGTGTAAAACAGGACATTACCATCTTACTGTGGAATTCTAAGTAATCGGCCTTATTTTTTTAAATTGTTATTTAGTTTTGCTTTTACGAGTTGATTACGAATTGATATCAGTTAGTGAACCATTGAAAACCAGCTGGTGGAGTACTGGACAGCTGTTTCATCCTATTTTAGGAATCATCGGCAGTACGCACCCACTGAGGTTCAAACCCAAGACCTTCCGGTCACAAGACAAGCTCGTATACCTTTCAGCCATTGCTAGGACCCGAATCCTCAATGGCCACTACAAGAATTCTAACTTCTACCAATTCGTGATTTAACGCGACTGGCACCAACCAATGTCATCAGTGGCTGGTCATTCATCCTCACAAACTTGACTGGATGAACCTCACTGGTCACAACTTCTCACCTAGAACTCCAGGACAGGAAACTCTGTCCTGTAGCAAGTCGCTAGTGAGCATCAGATTAATTTTCTATAGTTTGGTTTGTAACTGATATCAATCCGTGATCAACTCGTAAAAACAAAACTAATCCTTACAAAACAACTATAGAAAAATGTTATACAGTTGTTAATATTTTCACTGGCACAACTTCCCTAAAGTCGCCTGCTAGAACAACTATATCTGAGCAGTTTTGATCTTTGCAGCAAATTAGACAGTTTCAGGTAGAAGTCATCCTTTAGTTCATCCGAACTGTAGCCTGTTGGGGCATAAGTGGAGACCATGAAGAGGCACCGAAGGGTAACATCGTCCTTCCGTTCAGACGGACTGCACACACACGACTATGTACTGGGATCCAGTCAAGAAGTGATTTTTCTACCCTAACACTCAATGCTATCCCTACACCTGCGAGTCCTCGTGAACTAGCTGAGGAGTCTCCTGACACCCTTAAAGTGAATTTTTCAGATTCACCTTGTTGGCCGGGTTGGGTTGGGTTAAGTGAATGACCACACTCGGGTCTTGTATGCCTGTCTCCGCAACACAACATACATCCATGGCTCGAGATGCCAGAGTTCTTGCTAGTGATGTCTGTTGTCAGATTTGCTAGGGGTTCCTGAGGTAGTCAGCCAGCATCCCCTGAACTGTGAACTGTCCTTCACATTTGTGTTTATCATAGTCCTTTTGAGTCACTTTTTCTCTTTCTGTGTGTGTGTACGTGTTTTGTATACCTTTGTGTGGTACATGCAGTTGTGGCAAATTAAATTGGTGCAGTTCTATACACAAAGTTCTCCGTTGAAACGTAGTCAATCTGTTAAATTTTTTCGCGTGCATGAGTATACTGTCACTAATATTTTCCCTTCTCAATAGAGAAAAAAAGACCAGATTCTCAGTATAAAATGGGATATCGTAAATCTACTTCTTAGGTTCTCATCAGCTAACTGTAGACTGCCTGAAATTACAATGGTTACATATATAGATGATAATAACACTTTAATGTTTAAGTGTTAGTAGAGAAGAAATGATATAAAACTGACACATCCAAAATGTAAGTGTCACAGTTTTTTTTAGTTTAAGTTTTCATCATCAATTCAAAGGAGATGCAGTGTCACAAAAGATTGACAAAAGAATGAAAGGTGCAATAAAAAAAGCTTCCCACCTGCAGCTAAACTCATAACATTATACAGCACCACTTCTATAAGCCACCAATCAAAACTGGATAAATACCCTGCTGATGTTACCTCCAACTGCGTTTATGAATGAATTTACGTGCACCTGAGGGAGCAAGTACATTGGAAGGACGGAAAGAAGGGTTTCTATCCTTTTTTCTGGACATATTCCAAGAAACTTGTACCTGAAAGGAAGCAAATATTCTCAGAGTGCAATTACCAGACATATTGTTGATACCGGACATCTCCTAGAGATTTCTAAGCCCTTCAAAATATTAAATAGACAAAAGGCAGCATATTTACTACGATTTGCCGAAGTGATCTCAATCAAACGATTCAAACCAACCAGACTTATGCATACAGAAAGAGAGTATGATTAATCTCTCACTCCCTTGCTAACTGAATTCGATTTTGATTACATTCGTGAGTCATCTAATTCAGTGATCTCAACTCACTGAACAAATCTCAATCTTATAAACTGTAACCGCTTTTGTTTTTTGAGTTGCTATGTGAACCTACGAGCTAACACTTTGTTTGTTAATTTTTTCTGTTTTCTGTCTTACCCCCCTCTCTTTTCTACTTAAACTAAAAAATTGTAACGCTGCTTACATTTTGGATGCGTCAATTTTATAGTATTTGTTACAGGATTTCATCATGAGCTGACATTGGATAGAGAACCATTGGAAAACCTGGGAGTACTGGACAGCTGTTTCGTCCTAGTTTGGGACTCTTCAGCAGTACGCACCCACCTGGGTTCGAACCCAGGACCTTCTGATTACAAGGCGAGCTCGTAAACCATTAAGCCACTGGGACCTGATCCAATGACCACTCCATGAATTCTAACTTCTGCCAATTCACGACATAGCGCAACCGCTAGCCAATGTCTTCGGCGAGTATTTGTCCTCACACCCGACCTGCTGCACCCTACTGGTCACGACTTCCCACTGGAATACCAGGTAACTACATACTACCTGAATAGGGCCAGTCGCCAGTGAGCATCTCATTGATATTCAAGTATTGGCTTGTAGGAATTTGGTTGATTGGTTACAGGACTTCATCATGAGCTGACATTGGTTAGAGAACCATTGGAAAACCTGGGAGTATCTCTTCTCTACTACCACTTAAACATTAAAGTATGTTATTATCACTGTAATTTCAGGCAGTCTATGGCAGCTGATGAGAACCTGTGAAATAGAATGATGCTATCCCATTTTATACTGCAAATCTGGTCTTTCTTTCTCTATGGAAATTTATCAAGGGAACCAAATGTATGAAATTTTCCTTTTTGTTTTTTCTTCCCTTCTATCAAAGGTGTCGGAAACTGTCCTCCTAATGATGAAACAAGTCAATGATATTCTCAATAATTGTAATGTCTACCTTGTAGCCTTAGTGAATGAAGTGAATCAATCGAAAGCAAATAATGTGTTGGATTTAAATACAAAGAAAACGAACACAATAGCCTTTATTGAATTTATAATTAAATTAATTCCCCGGATATTTATGCTATTCACCTCACTGATACCTACTTTACACGCGGATGTTGCACAGACGGATTTACGTTTTGCTGGTAAGTAGTGGTGATATTATGTGTTTTCACTAAATTGTTATTGTTACTGTTAATATTATTACTCTCTTGGGTTCTGTCCTCTGCCCATAAGCTCTCATTTCTTTTTCTCACACGATCTACTCCACGTCACACACCATCTGTGATGTCTCATTTGGGGTTGACTCTGATGACCTGACACGCGATGTGTCAGCAACCGCCTCTCCAGTGTGTATCTGATCCAATCTCCATTTTCTCCGGCATATTTCACACTTTGATTTGAGGAATGCTGGCGTTATTATTATTCATCCAATAGATGATATCTGACCGTTTCAGTATTTATCTGCTGTCCTTTTCAGTTGGCTGGGTCCATGATTGACCAAACTCTCTCATCTCTGACTCACACTATATCCTCCTTGTCACCCTCGCACTGACGACCCACTCATCGCTTTCCATTTCGATTCTACTCGAGGGTCTGGTGTGCGATATCATTCGGCGGCCTCCTCAATGTATGCCCGATCCATATCCACTTTCTCCTACATATTTGTTAAGTGATCGGCTCTTGCCTGTTGGTTTGTTCCCATAGTTTCTTGTTGCTTATTCTTTCTGGCCATTTGATCTTCCGTATGGAGCCAGCGGAGACAGCTGTTGATGAAAGTCTACAACCTGTTGGAAATCCTTTCCATGACACGCAGTCCAAATTTCTGACCCATATAGAAGAAGCGACTTGACATTGGTGTTGCAAATTCGAATCTTGTTCTTTATGCTGAGTGCGGAAGATTTCCAAACTGGTTTCAGGTTGATGAAGGCGTATCTTGCCTTTCCGATTCTGACCTGCTTTGACATCTCCATCCATTCCGACTGCCTGTAGTTGAAACAATGCTTCCTAGATAAGTGAAGGAGGTAACCTCTGTTAAGTCTCTCCCGTTGATAGTGATTGGTGCTGGTTGTTGTTGCTGTTGTTTGGCTGGTTATCTTCATCACCTCCGTCTTCTCTGTGCCCATCACCTGCAGTCCTGTTTTCTCTGTCTCCTCAGGCAGTTTGTTAGTTTTCGCTTGCAAGTCCTCGAGTTTGTGCGACATTAGACATATATCATCTGCAAAATCCAAATCTTCTAGTCTTCTTATCGGTAGTCCAGCGTATCCTTGACTCCTCATCCCCAGCAGTCTGACGCATAGTCCAGTCCACCACAATTATGAATATCATCGGTGATAATAGGCAGGCAGCCATGTCTTACTCCTGTATGCACTTCAAACGCCTCACTGAGTTTTCCGTTGTGGATCACTTGACACGTGGCATTGTCATATAGCTGTTGAATGAGGTTGATAAAGACTTGGGCACTGCACGCCATAGTGTTGAAGTAGTTTCTAAATTACTTCTCGGTTTATGCTGTCGAAGGCCTTTCGAAGTCGATGAATGCTTTGTGATGATGCGTAGAGCTGCAATTTGATCAGCACATAATTTGCCTTTCCTGAATCGATCTTGTTCGGGATTGGTGGATTTCTGTATCCAGTGCATCCTTTATTCTTTCCAGGATGATGTGACTTAGTATTTTAGTTTGCGTGGACAAGAGCATTATTCCACACTAGTTCTTGCAGAGACGTAAGTCACCCTTCTCTGGTAGTTTGACGAGGTAGCGCCTCTTCCAATCAGTAGGCACCTTTCCTTCTTCCCAAACTTTTTGCAGTATTGGAGTAAGAGAATATGCCGTAATCTCTGGGACCATCTTCAGTGCTTTAGGGGGAATGCCGTCTGGTCATGCTGCCTCCCCGGATTTCAGTAACTTGGTCGCATTCAGGATTTTTTCTTTCGTTGGGGCAGTGGTGTCCACTGGTATTTACGTGTGTGCTGTTCGTGGTATTTCTAAACGAGTTGCCGGTGGTGGTCGATTCAAGAGTCCTTTAAAGTGATCAGCCCATTGTTTGATTTGTTTCTCCTCCTTGGTGATCAGGTTCCCTTGAGCATCTTTTATTGGTTTCATCATCTGGGTTGATCTCTTCCCGGATAGAGACTTGGTTATCTGATATAGTGTCCTGATGTCTCTTTTGCCTTCGGCCCGCCTGTTCTGCCTCAGTTGCTGCCAGCCAGTATGTCGTAGAATTGACTTTTGTCTTTTCTAGCACTCTTCTTCACTTCTCTCTTTATTCAGTGCAGTGTACATTGAACTCAGCTTCTCCTTCTGTTGCTCATCTCTGCATCGAGTCATCTCTTTCACCAGTTGCCTGGTAGGTGTCCGTTGAGAGAGCCATTCCTTGTCTTGTCTCTTCCTTCTTCCTAGAACTGTTGTACACGTTTCCTTAAATATCGCTTTCAGAGAGTTTCAATGTTCTTCCACACAGATTTCCTCAGTGATATCACGTAGTGTGTCCGACTTTCCTCTGATATCTGTAGCGAAGGCATCCTTTGTAGTTGACCGTCAGGAGTTGTATTCTCATAGTTCGTAGGCGACCAAAACAGATTCATACGCTGCCATCTGAACCGTTTGGATTCTGGATATACGTGTATACAGGGTTTTCCAGCTGCCTTAGCTACGTAGATTGACATGTTCCTCTGTCCGGTTGTAAGCGCTAGACGTTTGGATTCGCCCTTTCATTTCTGTGGGTGTGAAAGCCTTGGAATAACAATCACCTGGTCGACATCAGCTATGATCGCGTGGCTACATGAGAGTGAGAACATTTGAAGTGTCAAAGCGAAGGTTACTCATCACCCACCACCCCACGGCCTTTACCATCAGATCAAGTAAATCAATAATCGATGATATACATATCTTATTTAAAGTAATATCGTTCTGTCTGATACACACTATAATACTATGGGATGTTTTTGATTTTATCTCCTTCTGTGAATCGATACTATTAGGTTGAAACAACATAATAATAATACTAATTTGCTTTATTCCAAAAATAGTACTTGTGATACAGAATAGAATTCTCAGCAGTTTTACTACAGTATTGCATCCAGTTAGTACATTAACAATAAATAGAATTCTACATAGATTAAGGAAATCTCAATTCATTATGACAACAACGTATTGGCATGCTGGTAGCAAAGCCAAAGTTGAACAGTGTTTGAAAGGTGTTAGAAAAGTTGGTGCTATCATATTTACTGGCGTAAACGGAAGAAAGAAACAAAGAAGCACATAACGGAAAAAGAAGAGAGAGAAAAGAAAAAGAAAGAAAGGAAGAAAATGTTGTACCTATAAATGATATGAGTTGGACAGACGAGATCCAGTTGTTCTACCGACTATTTAATGAATTATAGGTGTCACGCCTAATGTTTTCTTTATCGCACAGAACACTAGCAAAGTAGGGTATGGTTGAGTTTTTGTACTTGCTGGTGCGAGCATATAGTTTTCTATATAGGCTTCTAGTTCTGCCCGATGAGATACAAGGGTTGAGTTGTGAATGAAGGGGGTGGTGTGAGTTAGATAAAATGGATTTGGCCCATTTTATCTAACTCACACCACCCTCTTCATTCACAACTCTCCCCTTGTATCTCAGGCAAAACCAGATCACTCAAAAAATGTGAGAGAATACATACAGATTGAAATACAAAAATATGATTGGATAATTAAGAGAATGCAAAATGATGTAAATACGATGCATGTTGTTGTAAAGGGTGAATTCAAGCCTCTGGTGTTTACAACCGGAACTGGTGGACACATGCAAATCTGCTAAAAGGAGCTAGGAAATTTCAATTCCAAACCTATGTTGGCGTACATAGGCTGGCTCCATAATCCGAAGGAATCGAATGGCAGTATGCACCTTACTTGGTCACCCACCGTCCACCATGGGAATGCAAATCCTGATGCTGTTCTACTGCTTTGTGGATGGATCAGAATTGGAGTCAGAGGTTCGGCCTGGGTCGTTCCTTATGACAATCACCTTTTTCGACCTCGTTGTCAGGGCAGTAGTATCCCATTCTCCTAGCGCAAACTGTGAGATCTCATGTGACCTATTTTCTTGTTCGCGTAATGTAACAAGTTCGAGCTTTAACAGAAAAGAAATGCAACATTGATGGATGGAACAATAGGGTATTTCGGCGATTGAAGAGCAGTTCACCAACTTTCTTACAGACTAATTTCAACAGATAGTCATTTTATAATAAATGGGTTGAATAAATGAATGTTCAGGTATTAGTTTGTAGAGATTTTGTTTGATTGGTTGGAGGATTTCATCATGAGCTGACATCAGTTAGAGAACTGTTGGAAAACCAACGCTAGAGTACTGGACAGCTGTTTCATCCCAGTTTGGGTCTCTTTGGCAGTACATACCCACCATGAAAGTTCGAACCCAGGACCTTCTGGTCACCAGTACGAAACAGCTGACTGACTGTCCAGTACTCCTAGGTTTTCCAACAGTTCTCTAACTGATGTCAGTTCATGATGAAATCCTCTAACCAATCAAACAAAATCCCTACAAACCAATACCTGAAAATTGATCTGATGCTCACTAGCGACTGGCCCTATTCAGGCATTTAACCTGTGCTGGTTCTATTGGGAAGCCGTGATCAGTAGGCTACAGAAGGTCGAAGGTAAGGACAGTTACTCATCGAAGACATTGCTCAGTGGTCATGCTATATATCGTGAATAGGCAGAAGTTAGAATTCATGGACTGGTCATTGGCTCGAGTCCCAATGGCTTAATGGTCTACGAGTTCGATAGCCTAGTTACCGGACTGTCTTGGGTTCGAACCATGGTGGTGGATGCGTACTGATGAAGGGTCCCAAACTAAATTGAGAAAACAGCTGGCTGTCCAGTACTCTGAGATTTTCCAATGGTTTTCTGACTGATGTCAGCTCATGATGAAATCCACCAACGAATAAATAAATGATTTTTGTTATATCTAAATTATTATCATAGATTACTATCATTCTATCGTTACTGCCTGTAGTGCATTATAAGTACCCATGACCCCAGCAGGCAGCGAACCCCAAGATCTTCAGGTTACAAGGCCATCTCCGGTTGACTACACTACTTAGCCAGCAGAAATGAGAATCCTCGGGTCAAGAAGTGGTCAACTGGCTATTCCGATAATCTGAAGGTTCAGGGGATTTGACTGCTGGCGGTGTCATGTCCTAAACCAGGATACAGCTTATATCGAGGGCTGTCTGACTTTTTAATGTTAGTGGTAGTAATGTGTGAAGAACACCTTGCAGCAACATATACAAGAAACGGATGTATACCTAAGATATGTTGATCACATTTTTATTGTCTGTGGAAGCAGATTAAAAGCCGAAGACATGTTGATAAAATTCAACTCATGCCATCCAAATCTCAATTTCACAGTAGAACACGAGGAAAACGATACTATTAAATTCCTAGACGTTTTTCTGGCGAAAATGAATGATGGCACAATCGAAACATCTATATTTAGAAAGTCTTCATGGATAGGATAGTACATGCATTTCAAGAGCTTTGTTCCAATCCAGTATAAAAAGAACTTAGCCAGAACACTGTTCAATAGAGCACGAAAAATTTCTTCTGACAGTACTGTTGAGCATAAAATAAAATCTTTGAAGGATATCTTATCTAAGAATGGATATCCTGAGAAGTTCATTAATAAATACTCTAAAGAAAATAGCCCCTGCAAAACAATCCAAACAGTTCCGAAGAAACCTGTCTATATCAGTTTGCCGTTCAAAGGAGATGATGTACAGGAAGTAGTCAAACGAAGACTCGACAAAGCCATCAAGAGAACTTATTATGCTGCAAAACTTGTTTTCCTTAACACCACTAAGCGAGTGCTTCAACAATCTGGGAAAGACCAGTTGCCAATCCTTGACACTTCAAACTGCGTATATCAATTTGATGAGTGTGTTTGTGGAAGCAAATACATAGGTCGTACGGAAAGGAGATTGTCTACTCGCATGATGGAGTATTTGCCAAAATGGTTGAAAACAGCTGAGTGAAAAGTGCCAAAATCCTCAATAACAAAACATCTTGTGGATTATGGACATGATATCGACGCGGTCAAGTCATTCACTCTTATCAGCAGACAAAGAAAAAAGAAGGTGCTTGCAATTGCAGAGGCTTGTGCAATTCGAGTTTATAAACCAGGTCTCTGCGTACAAAAGGAGATGGTCGTGACTCTAAATCTACCGTGGTAAAACGTTTTACTTGTAATTCTACCTATAATAATTATTATTGATTCATTTAAAACTATCCTTTATCAGTAGGATTATCTTAACTCACTTCAACACTATTATTAATATTATTATTGTTATTATAACTATTACTATTGATATTACTCTGTTTGCAATTCTTGTTATATTCTCTAATGTTTAATTGTTTATCTAAGTGATTTAATTGAAGCGTAATGCAATTTATCTTAATTTTGATCTCTCATACTCTCTCTCCCCTTACCTATTTGAACATGACCTGGAAAACATTCGCACCTGTCTTTCAGCATAACTAATTCAATGTAGTTTATTTGCTTATCAGTCCTATATCTCTCAATGTAATTTCAAAAGTATATATATATATCCGTGTATGTAGAGTATTCAGCTGACGATATAAGTATAAAACTTGGGCACTGTGGTAGAGTATAACTCCATAATGGATAAGATTTTATTTTGATAAATCACACAGTGTTGTACAGTTATATTAACTGATTACGAAGTTTCGAGCACAAACTATTGCTCATAATCATATCAAGTTCACAAACCATTGGATTTTTAACAGTCGATGTTTAAAAAATCATATAACTCCAAAATATTTACACATACGCATTCCAATTACTTCAAGAAAAATATCGTCAGCAGCTGAACATCTCAGCAGATTATGTCTAAGAGAAGAACTACATCGAATTACTGTGAAACTAAATAATATACGAAATGAAATCGAAAAACTCAAACACAAACTCAAAGATATGATCAATGACAAAGATTATGTAATTGTTGTTGAAACATTCGAAAAAGCTAGAGAATCAGCATTCAGAAAATCAAAAACCACACAAATCAAAAAAATTCAACAAACTAATTGAAGAAAAGAACACAGCAAATAAAATTGATATCAACGCTTCATCCTCTATCGATAGAACAAAGTGGGTGATCAACCTCTCATCAAGGGAACTAAGCTCTAGTGAGATAAAAGTACTCGAGAAAGAACTAAATTTCAATATAACAGTTAATAAATTAAAACCAGAGGATATCATTCCTAACATAGAAGTAGCACTAGGTTCAATAGATAAGACAACAGCAGAAGAGGTTCGAGCACAATGTGCATTAACCCTGAAAAATCAAAAGAAGGCAAAATCAACTTGATATGATTATGAGTGTCAATAGTTTGTGCTCGAAACGTGGTCATCAGTTAATATAACTGTACAACACTGTGTGATTTATCAAAATAAAATCTTATCCATTATGTAGAGTATTCAGCTGAGGAAGAGTTCTACCGAAATTTGATGAATTCATTAAATCATCCTGCTTTATTGACCTGCTTTATTGCTTGTTTTAAAATCACATTGAAGGCACTGATAATTCTCCGCTCTCTCTCTCTCTCTGTACTGCTTTTACTTTTCAGTTCTGTACTACAATGACTGCATGTATTTAGCTCATGAATGTTTAACCCTGAGTGAACGTGGCCTGTACAAATTTATTCAAGAATTTTTCGATTTAGACTATGAAACAATAACCAATGCTAATGATATTGTTTATGATGAAAATATACTGGAAAGATCAGCTGCAATGAGTACTTGTATTCTGGTACCACATTTACGTCAATCTGGTGTCAATAGCTTATTGTATCATTTAAGACGTGAACGACAACATCTCCTAAGATGCATTGAAAGGACACAAGGATTTCATGTAGGTGCTTGTTTTGTTTATTTCTATTTTAAGAGTTTGTTTGTTTGTGTTTGTGTGATATTACTTTGCTTCTATTCAACGTGTTCTTCAGTTGAAGCGTCTTCATACTTACTCTGTTTAATGCGTGCCTAGCCTTGAGAGAGGGGCTCAACACCTTGGAAAACAGTTTTCATTTAGGTGTTTCGGTAGCATCACTTAGCCTTATGTTGGGTGTCGTAGTGTGTTACAGGATATTTGACGTATATTTGTAAATCTGACTTAATTCAAGCGTTGGTTTGCAGGGATATGACTGGTTACACGTTACAAACATTTATTCCCCTTAATGAATTTGAACAAAGAAAGAACTAGAGTTTTAGCAGAATAAAATGGTACCATCGGTGTTTATTCCGTTGCCTTCTCGTCAGCTGCTTACAGGGCAAAGTTATTATTAAATGTTTCTACAAAAACAATTTTTACATACTTGCACAGAGTTCATTTTAAACAAAAATCAATCGATCAGCCTATGCATACACCAATAATATATATATCTATATATATGCAATATTAAACACTATTCTGAACAATAGTAATCATACACAATGGAAACTTTTCAGCATTTCGCATTCGGATGAAAAATATCCAGTTACCAGGGCAAAGAAAGACTGATAACCGATTCTTTCTGGACGCATAAATCAGGTTTCAGGCGCTTGATGGAAATGGCTTCAGCAAACTTAAGGAGAATTGAGCTCTTATGCCTATTGATAATTTTGAATGACTTTTCGACATACCGTGTCAAGAAGATGCCTGGCGATGGCACTGTTCAAAGCATTTGTTCTCTTTAGACATAAGCCCTTCTTTCTGTCCTTCCAATGTAACTGCTCCCGCAGATACATGTAAATTTGTATATACAGTTGGAGTTAACATGAGAAGGATATCTATCGATTTTTGATTGCACCAAAGAGCAAGTAGTTCGATGGATGGGAACGAGCTTAGCTGCCGGATAGGCTATAGCTAGTGATGTGCTCAGCCTTCTGTTGATCACGGCTGCAATGTTTTCGCCTTTATAATCAAGCTGTAAGTAGATTGGCTTTTTTACTACTGTGATTTGTTTCACATTTGTGACTTCAAATCTTCCATACTTGTTGATGAACCTTTGAGGGTACCCATTACTCTTCAATATCTTTGCTCTTTGATGACTAACTGATATCAATTAGAGAAACACTGGAAACCAGCATGGAAAACTGGACAGCTGTTGTTTCGTCGTTGTTGTAGTGCGCACCTGCCAGGATTCGAAACCAGGAACTTTCTCTAATAAGGAGAGTTTGTAGACCATTCAGCCCCTAAGGGGTACCTGCTCAACTGCACCGCGGACTTCAAATTCTGCGAATTCGCAAACGTGATTTCGAAACCCAACAGTGGTGCGTGCTGCTAAAGAGTCCTGGACTAGGACGGAATGGCTGTTCAGTACTCACGGGGAGTGGTTTTCCAGTGGTCCTCTAATTGACATTAGCACTTGATGGTAATACCTGTAACCTAATTCAGTTCTCTGAAGTGAGTCATACCTGAGTACACCATCGATGGGCTCTGCTCCAAACAAGGAAGATGGCTGTCCAGTGTTTAGGTCCCTTCGACTCCAGAAGGGACCAGAAGGTACTACTGTTTGATGTGAGTGGCTTCTAACCACTGAGATGATTCAATCAGTAGTGTGTAGCTGTAGATTTCTTCTCAGAAATCCGGTTCCAAAATTGTAATCCAACTTTTGATTTGAATGAATAAAACATTTGAATGACGCGTAAAATTCAAACAAAAAATTTGTTTAAAACACAGTTCTCGAATTTTGAGGTGTCTAAGGCTGAATGCCATTAAACACACAAACACACACACACACTGTCACTACGCATCCACAGTCAGTTTTAAACTGAGGTGGAATGTTCAGAATAAAGGGATTAGAATAAACAAGTGTTCAACAGGAAGTGGAACATAATTGAAGCACGTACAGCAAGTACTTTTCAACTATAGATCAAATAAAATGGGAATACCTTAAGTGAGATGAATGTGCGTCGGTGGCACAGTGGTTAGGACTCTTGCCGACCATGCACATGGTCCGGGGCTCGATCCTCTGCCGGCGCAACCCGATATCTATGATCGGCCTGTAAATTTGGGCTGCCGATATCCATGCTGAAAAATTCCAAACTTGTACTGAAAATACGGTGTGGAATCAAGCTGTAGTAAAAAAAAATGAAAAATAAAAAAAATAAAATAAATAAAGCAATAATTACGGTTACACAGTGACGATATAATAAACAAAATATAAACTCTTACTACTTACCAGTAAAAATAAGTAGTATAAATAATAAACGCAAAAAATTGTAACAAGCAATAGATAAGAATGAAGTTAACACTGTGTGTTATGCATTTACGCCTGCTTTCTCTGTAACGATTTATTTTGTATGCCATGTTAGCGCCTTCGCGAACGAATGAATGAATGTTAGGGTTGGTGCCATCAGAATAATGACAATAAGAGATTATGGGATTTGTGGGAATTTTGATCAATTTGATTTCAGTTATTAGATTTTGTTATGAATGCTAATTAGCATCAGTTGGGAGTAGTGGATTGTTTTCTCCTTCTAGTTTTTAAAATCTTGCTTGAGTAGTGCTCATTGAAAATGCCAGCAGGGAGCGAACACACTAGGCACATAAAGGTTACGACGCCAATCTGGATTGTTCATTAAGCCAATTGGGGCCAGAACTCCTCAGCGATCTGCAAGTTCTAAATTTCTCAGTTCGTAATACAGCACACTACCCTTACTATTGACCTCGTCAAGCAATCTACTCTATTTCAGCATGGTGGACCAGTAGTGCTCTTTAATTTCTCATAAATTTTAATCATGGAAGTACCAATGAAGGCTGGGGACAATTATCGGTGATATGGCTCAAAGTCCTCGTTGTCAATGGCTGGTGCAGATGCATCTACTCCTTGTGACTTATAATTTCCAATAAAACTATATTGTTCTTCGATATTACCATTCTTTTTATCTCATATCTTTGTTTACTGTCTCTATTTTGCATTTACTTTTACTTTCTTCTCTTGCCTTATGTGCTACATGTTTGTCTATCTGTTTTCGACATAGAACTTTGCACATATGTGCAGCAGTTCAAGTCGCCACACTCCATGTAGCACACAAAGCAAGAGAAGAAAGTAGAAGAAATGCATATTAGAGATAGTAAAAAGAGGTATGAGACAAAGGAATAGTAATAACGGAGAACAAAACAGTTTCATTGGAAATCATAAGTCACAAGGAGTGGATGCATCTGCGCCAGCCATTGAGAACGATTTTGAGCCATATCACCAATTGTTTCCAACCATTGGTTTTTACCGTCCCGAGGACCCCAACCAGTCAGGAAGTTTATATCCTCCTACGTGGCTTAGACTAACTGTTGTAGATTTCATTGACTGATAAAGCCATGTTTTGGTTTGACCGCTGCTAGCTGTTTTCCAGCCTGACCCTATATCAGCTAACATTGCCTGTCGAGGAAGGCGATGACTGGGCATACGTAGCACATATCGTAACCATTTCAGTCGATGTAATTTCAAAGTCTTGTTGACTGATTTCCCCTCCTTACCTAGCACTCGAATGTGCTACATGGAGGGAGTGTGGCGACTGGAACTGCTGCACAACGGTGCAAAGTTTTAACTTTGTTGAAACCAGTTAGTCAGTCAGACGTAAACATTGACGTAAATTGTTGTCTACAATTTTGGCTTGTTCTCAGCCAGCTCTCACCCCACAAGTTGACCCCATGTATGAATGTGAATGTTAACCTCTGATGTTTGGATGTATGTGACATTCGTACAAAATATGAGTGATAATAATGGAATCTTAATAATCATAATAATAATAATGGTCATACTATATGCGTGATTTGGTTGATACCGCATACCGGTACATATCATTATCGTGTATGGAAACACGTATTCGTGTCTATTCTGTGCATTCTCATGTTCTAACCGATTTTTAACCCAGCTAAATTAATATCTTGCGTTGTATTCCTTCATTTGCACCCCGTAAGAAGTGCATGTTTGATGAAATTGTAATTATTCATATTATTATTATTGTTATAGTTTGTCCGGTGTACTTTACTCACTGTAGAGTCATAGCATAGCATAGTATAGAGTCGAAAGTTTGAACTGATAGAGAGAGAGAGAGTAGGGGGGAGTAAAGAGAAATAATCGTCGAAAACTATGCATGAGATGACCTTCAACATTTGGTAAACATGTAAACAGATATATATGCCACTCCTACTACTACTAACAGTGGTATCATGCTGTTTGTTTTTGTTTACGTGAAATTAATTCACATGCGACTTACTGGCTGACTGACTGCCTGCCTTGACATTTAGACGAGTTTGTTTGTTTGTTTGTAAGTGTTTTAATGCATCTTACCTTTGTAAATTTAGCTGGTGGATTTTTATAAAATAATCATTAAACTGATTTACGGCTCTTTTTGTTGTTGTTGTTGGTGGTGTTGTAAAGTTTGAAGTTTTAGTGACGATGGTATTGTGAGGTGTTTGCCTGTCTCTCTCATGCCATGCCATGTCCAGCCATCTCCCTCTTGTATCTAGACTACTTAATACCGACTGGTATATTCCATGATGAGGTTTAGGTGGTATACTTCGACTGGGAATGGAAGTCGGACAACCTGTGTATGTGTGTGTATGTGGTAAGTATTCTACTGTAGAACCTCCGATTGACCGGCCGACCGATCAACCAACCTACACCACAATCCTCAAGTCATTGGACATAATAATGGATAAATTGTTAGGTGTTATTTCCAGTTCGATCACGGATTTAGATCAGTGATGGGATCATTAAAAACCAGGGACTATTGGACTGTTCTGGTCTAGTGTGGGACTACCTGTGATAGTTTGCCCACACACGACCCTGCGCCAGGGATTCGACCTAGAATCTTCAGGTTACTGGACGATCTAGTTGCGTCCATTCAGAGTCAATCAGGCGGAATGCAATGACCCAAGAATTCTAGCGCCTCTGCTAATCAATGTCATTGGAGAGTATTTGTCGTCACATACGCCCTGGTGAACGCCGCTGTTCACCACTTCTCACGAGAAATTCAAGTCACTTCGGTTGTTGTGGTTAGTTACTCTGATGGTGGTCATATGTGCGTATTGCTGAAGAGTTTCAAACTAGAGTGAAGCACTTGATGATGTGGCTATTAGAATTAAAATCCAGGTTGGGCATTCCTACGTTTTCGGTGGGTTGCAGGTACATTCAACCAAGAAATAGTCTCAAACAGGATAAAATACGTATCCTGAATTCGACTACCACCAACGCAGCGAACTACGTCCACCATATATTAGAATCACAATTCTCACGTATCTTAGGGATTGTGCTTCATTGTCTTCCTTTTATGTTTTCTATATTGTTTCATAAGCATCGTTCATTAAATTCATCTCTCCGTTATTCGATATTCTTGCAGGTGATATGGATATTTTTATTGTACAACAACAATAACAGACAGCGATCAGCATAAATGGGAGGAACCCGAAAGAAACAACCTCTTTTACCTACCTACCTGGGAAGCATCGTTTCAACTACAGGTGGACGGAACTGATGAGGATATCGAAGCCAGAATCGGAAAAGCAAGACAAGCTTTCACTACTCTCAAGTCTGTGTGGAGGTCAACAGCACTACTCAGCATCAAAAATAAGATCGGGATTTTCAACTCCAATGTGAAGTCAGTCAGTTCTACTATACGGATGAGAGACTTGCACTGCGCGTCATAAAGAGCATCTCAAACAAACCACAGACCTTCATTGACAGTCGTTTTCGCTCAATACTACTCAAGATCAGATGGCCGGCCAGAAAAGATCAGAAACAGAGAGGGATCTCTAGCAATGAGTGAATCAACCCAGTAGGAACCGATTGTGAAATGGAGATGGATTGGCCATACTCTGAGAAAACAAACCATCAAGTGACATCACTAGACAAGCCATTGCTCGAGTGGAACGGAACCCGAAAGGGAAGCGCCGAGTTGGTCGTCAGTGCAAGGGTGACTTGGAGGATGTCATGTGAAGAGGAGATGAAAACGTGTGGGCAGACTTGGAGCCAGGTGAAGACTCTAGCAATGGAGACGCACGGCTGTTCCTCTCGGAATTAAAGGAAATAATAATAATAAATATATACTACTTATAAATCTTGTCAGCAGCACATGTTACAATCTTATTTATTTGGTGGTATTGACTACTAGCAGTTAAGAATCCAAATTGCACATATTCGTACCTTTTTGAGAGTCACCTGGTGGGATGCCGTAGCATCCATTTGAGAAGTAATTCCGGAAAAGACGAAACGCACCACTACCACCGAACGATTAAAAAGTAACATGAAAGTTTCAGAGAAAAAAAAAGAGTGAAGAGTTTCATGTGTGATAATTCAGCTTATGTTTTATTGTCTTTATTATTATTCCCTTGGGTTCCAAGTGGTACATAGAGCTTCAACAACACAATTCCAATCTGTTACATTTTCTTCTGTCCTCTTCATCTGGCTGGGTTCATGATTGCTCATAATCTCTCATCTCCCCCTCCAACTCACATGATCTCCTCCATGTCACCCTCGCACTGACGATCCACTCGTCGCTTCCCATTGGGATTCCACTCGAGCAATAGCCTGCATTGCTCGCGATATCATTCGACAAACTCCTCAACGCATGCCCTATCCATTCATCTCCATTATCTCCTACGTATTTGTTGAGAAATCGGTTCTCGGTTGATTGATGTTGTCACAGCCAGAGTTTCTTCTTGCTCATTCTTCCTCGCCGGCCGGCCGGTCGACTGGCCATTTAACCTTCACTATAACGCCAGCCAGTCAGCGAAGAGGCCAGCTGTTGATAAACGTCTGTAACAGACTGCTGGAAATCCTTTTCGTGACACACGTGAAGTGCAAGTTTCTGACCCGCATAGAAAAACTGACTGACTGACTGACATTGGCGGTGAACAGAATCCGAATTTCGTTCTTTATGCTGTTGAGTAAGTCAAGCAGAAGATTCCCCGTCTGGATTCAGGTTGGCGAAGGCGTATCTTGACTTTCCGATTGTGCCCTGCTTTGACGTTTTCATCCGTTCCGAGTGCCTGCCTTTGAAACTATGCTTCCTGGCCAGATAAGGTGTGGAATCAAGCTGTATGCCAAATTAACAAATCAATCAGTACTCTACCTAACGGACAAGTTAACGTAAATGAAGACGGCTCAGTTAATTAGTAATTATGGTCTGATAAGTAGTATATCTGAACAGAATAAAAGGTGAATGTCTGTCATCTATGGAAAGGAGAATTTAGAAATTATCTGACTAATATGTCTGACTGAACTATGGACTCAGAGACTGCATGTGTGGTAATAGCACAAGAAAAGAGAGAACGAAATGTCGTTTTTAGCCTAGGGAATGAGTTGTTACCAGGGGATAATCTCGTTGACTTAGAATATGCAGACGATATAATCCTTCTAGGTGAAGTGGTGGAGCACGTTGACCGCTTCACTTATTTGGGAAGTTGCATTAGCCCCAACAGGTTGATTGCTGACGAAATCTCAGCACGGATATAGATAGCTAGTTTCGCATACACTAGTTTACGCTGTCTTTGGCGTAGACGTGATATCCAGCTGTCTATCGACCAAAGGGCGGATGTATTGCTCAGCAGTCTGCTCCGTCCACCTTCATGGCTGGCTGTGAGGCATAATAGCCATTGAGAGTGGGAGACATGACAAGTCTGGCTAGGTGTCTTTGATCATAGGTGCCTGCTTTCTATCTTCCATGTGAAGTGGTATTATAGGGTGAGCAATATTGAGCTGGTTAGGCCTCAGTCGAGTGCTAGGTAGGTGGGAGGGAAAATCGATCGACGAGGCTGTGAAGCTATATCGACTGAGGTAGTTAGGATATGTGTTACGGACACCTGGTCACCACCTTACTCGACAACAGGCAGTGGTTGCTTATTTACGATCAGTTTGAAAAAGAGCAAGTGGTTAGTGGTCAAACCAAAGAATTGCTTCATTAGTCAGTGACATCCGCAACAGTTAGTTAAAGCCAGCCACGTAGGGTGGCGTAGACTTCCTAACTGATTGGTTGGATTCCTCGGGACAGTAAAAACCAATGTAGGCTGGAGACAATTATCGGCGATATGGCTCAAAATCGTTCACATTAATGGCGCAGATGTATTCACTCTTTGTAATTTATAATATCCAATCCAATAAAACTCTGTGGTTCTTCGGTATTGCTATTCTTTATGCCTCATATCTATGTTTACTATCTCTACTTTGCGTTTCATTTTACTTTCGTCTCTTGCTTTGTGTGCTACATGGAGGGAGTGTGGCGACTGGAACTGCTGCACATCGGTGCAAAGTTCTAACTATGTTGAAATCAGTCTGTTAGTCATCCCGTGTCAGCTAGTTAGTCCCTTATTCCATTATGCCTCTATACAATCAATGTTTATCTAATTTATTGTTTTTCTTTACTTATGTCTGCATGTTTTAAAAAAGAAGTATTTTTTCTTTTTCTCCTGTAAAGGATGTCAGTTCATCATTCGGTTACAGTCGATGTACTGCTTGTATAGATGAGTGTTGTCGTCATTTGCTTAAAATTGCTGATGTTCTCGCCTCCCTACCACATACGATTTATTATCGTGCATTAGGTAAGATTCTATTTATTGATTTATTTTTACATTTATTCATTCAATTATTGGTCAAATTGCACGCATGGTTTTTGTGATGGGTTCGAGTCTCAATGTGGTTACCATTACTCACTCATTGAGGATTGTAGACACATCTATCCAAGCTGATGAGTCCCTAACAGGACGAAATGTTCTCTGTGGATCCAACTGCTAGCTACTAACCACTGAATAACGTCAATGGTGTAATCATCTGATATCGTCTAAGCGTCCGCACTAGCAGCTGACATGTCAGCAGAAGCCAAACATTTCAGCACTAATAAGTATCTGTGTATGTGTCTATACCCGGTTGGAGGTGATATGAAGAGAACTGACTAGGTTGATTTGTGAAATTGTAGGATACAGTCGTGTCTGTGTCTTGTAGCAGAATCGTTTATTTGACAAAATGAGTTGTATACAGTGATAGCAATTACAAATGAAATTTCAATTATGAAATGTTATTCGTACTGTGTATGTTTTATCGGGAAAGCAAGACAAGCTTTCACTACTCTCAAGTCTGTGTGGAGGTCAACAGCACTACTCAGCATCAAAAATAAGATCCGGATTTTCAACTCCAATGTGAAGTCGGTGCTACTCACTATACGGATCAAAGACTTGCACTGCGTGTCATAAAGAGCATCTCAAACAAACTACAAACCTTCATTAACAGTTGTCTACGCTCAATACTGAAGATCAGATGGCCGGCCAGAAAAGATCAGAAACAGAAAGGGATCTCTGGCAATGAGCGAACCAACACAGCAGGAACCGATTGTGAAACAAATAGACAGGAAGAAATGGAGATGGATTGGCTGGCCATACTCTGAGGAAACCATCAAGTGACATCACTAGACAAGCCATTGCTCGAGTGGAACCCGAAAGGGAAGCGGAGAGTCAGCTGGTCGTCAGTTCAAGGGTGACTTGGAGGAGGTGATGTGAAGAGGAGATGAAGACGTGTGGGCGGACTTGGAGCCAGGTGAAGACTCTAGCAGAGAACCGAACGTGCAATTGAGACGCACGGCTGAAGCCCTATGTTCCTCTAAGAATTAAAGGAAACAATGATGATGTTTTGTCGTCCTCTCTTGATTCTTCTCATATTAGTCAACAAGAACTTTTCATTTACTTTATTCGTAACATAATCTGTCGATACGCTATTCAAGATTCTTTCAAAAGTCATCACCCATAATGCACTACTTATGATTTATTGTCAGTAGCGCACTATCTATCCGTCTTTATTCACTTCAAGTTAACGAATTGGCTCATTTCTCTTAGGAGTGATTTCATTCCACGTATTTATCTATGCGTGAAATTTTTATTACTGACAGCTGGAGGCCAGAGTTTTATTAACACACCTAAGTTTCTCGTTGCTAAGGCAGGAAATGAATGACAATCAATTGAAGATGATTCGTATTTCAAAGCCCTCATAAACGGCCCCGAGAGAGTGAGTAGTAGACTTCGACCTTCCACGTGAAATGCTCTCATGTCTCTAGGTGTTCATAGCCTCTGCCAGCCAGGTATGTCTTACTCACTGCCTTCATGCGGTGGAGGGGGGTGTTCCTCACAAAGGTGAAAGGGCGGAAGCGAAGTTCTGCCACCTACAACTTGATTAGTTAACATGCAAGTCTACTTACTAAGGGCAGCTGTAAAACCCTGATTTCAAACCTATGATGTACATGGACTCCATCCTGAATCAGAAAGGATCAAATCGTGTATCAATGTGTTTTGGTTACCATCAACCATAGGAACGCTTCAAGTCAAAGTTTTGGGGAGAGGAGTGACCTCTTAAGACAACCACCTGCTTGTGTCTGAACATCCAGGAAATATGCCAGTCCGTGCATAAACTATGAGATTTTGTGTGGTTCATCCCTTGGTACTCATAATGTAACAAGTCTCTGTTTTAATAATAATGCCCGACCGATAGCTGCTACACTGATATGGTGGTCGGGCTTGCATATCCAAATGAACCAACAAGCCACACTGGGCGGAACTAATGTTTCTGCTAGGATAGCGATTAGACTAAAAGCAGTTACCGGTATAGTGTAGGATTTTTTTCCACACTATGTTGAAGGACTGGGCGAAGTCGTACTGCTGAGGAACAGGGATGTAAGAACTGTGCGTCGGTGGCACAGTGGTTAGGACTCTCGCCGACCATGCACATGGTTCGGGGTTTGATCCCCTGCCGACGCACACCTGATATCTATGGTCGGCCTGCAAAATTTGGGCTACCGATATCACATGCTGAAAATTCCATACCTGTACCAGAATATGCGGTGTGGAATCAAGCCGTAATCAAACAAAAAAAGAAATAAAAAGGCACACGAAGCCCTCCTTAGTAACAATATCGTTTTCGCAAGGAAACGTCCGACAAAAGTAGGCGAATCCTCAACAGAAATGGCATAAAGGTGTTATTTGCTTTGTAAGCAAAGAACACCTTACGCAGAAAAAACCCAACAGGACTGTGAACATGGAATAAACTGTAGTGATTATGATGCTGCTGTGCATGTTGTAGGCGAAAATGTATCCAGACAGGCGAAATGTAAGAGAAAAGCAATATAAACAAATGCCCAAAGATAATTCCAAAATAGAAGTCAACAGAAGATTTGATAGGAGATTGTATTCATGAAATAAATCGGTAGTAGTGACTTTTGCTACATGACGGAGTTTCCTGGAAAAGTGATGGTCAGTGGGGAGTGAGGATGGATTTCACCCACCCCCCCTCCGATGATGACATTGGCTAAAGCCTGTCGCGCTAAATATCACGAATTAGTAGAAGTTAGAATTCATGGGCTGGCCATGAAATCGAGTCTCAGTGGCGGAATAGTCTACGAGCTTGCTAGCCTTGTAACCGGAAGGTCCCGGGTTCGAACTCCTGTGGTGAGTGCGTACTACCGACGAATCGCAAACTAGGATGAAACAGCTGGCTGTCCAGTACTCCAGTGCTTGTTTTCGATGGTTCTCAAACTGATATCATCAATCCGTGGTCGAACTCGAAAAACAAATTGAATCCTTACAAATTAACTCTTATAAATAAAATAAATCACCGATTGCATTACATCTGATAATAAAAGCGGAACTTCGGTAGACGGGATGAATAGCAATTTTTGAATTACAAGGAAAGATAGATTTCTATGACTAATTCTCAGTTACCATTATTATTATTATCATTATTCTGATTGCCCTTTATAAACCTAAAGTTTTTTTATTATGGATATGTATGTGACTGGTAATACTGAATGCCAAGTAATCCACAACAGGAAACTCACAGAATCTTTAAAAGTGAAGATAGGAGTAAGACAAGGCTGCCTACTATTTCCAATGATTTTCTTGATTGCAGGCGGTAGACTGCATAATGCGACAGACAGCAGTGGACAACGAGGCTATAGGCATAAAACGGATCCACACAAAAAACTTGGACGATCTGGATTTCGCTGATTTGATATATGTTTAATTTCTCACCAACAGGAAGATATGCAAGTGAAAAGCAACAAGTTGGCAATAGAAGAAGCATCAAAGATAAGACTTCCTTCAGGTGAACATACAGAAAACAGAGGTAGGTGGTGAAGATTCCTGGCCAACAGCAATAACAACAACATTCAGCATAGATAGGAGAAATCTGAAAGAAGCAACCTCCTTTACCTACCTATCTACTTGGGAAGCATCGTTTCAACTACAGGCGAACGGAACTGATTTGGATATCAAAACGAAGATAGTAAAGGGAAGGCAAGGCAAGCTTTCATTACTCTCAAGTCTGTGTGGAGTTCAACAGCACTCAGTCTGGGAAACAAGATCCGGATTTTCAGCTCCAATGTGAAGTCAGCGCTACTCTATACGAATCAGTGACTTAGCGCCGCGCCGCATCACAAAGGCCACTTCGAACGAACCTTCATCAACAGCTAGCTGTCTTCGCTCAATACTACTCAAGATCAAATGGCCGGCGAGAAAACATCAGCAACACGCATCTCTGGCAATGAACAACCAACCCAGCAGGAGACAATTGTGCAACAAATATGCAGGAAGAAATGTAGAGAAATGGATTGGTGGCCATACTCTCAGAAAATAGACTATCATCGAGTGACATGACACGCCAGGCCATCGCTCGAGTGGAACCCAGCATAATGGGAAGTGGTGAGTGCGTTGGTCATCAGTGCGAGGGTGACATGGAGGAGGTGATGCGAAGAAGAGATGAAAGCATGTGGGCAGACGTGAAAGCAGGTGAAAACGTCGGTAGAGAACCGAACACGCAATGGAGACGTGTAACTGAAGCCGTATGTTCCTCTAGAAACTAATGGAAAGAATAATAATGTGACCGGTACATGTTGGTATGTTTCAGATGGTAGAATCGTCGCTCACTACATCGGAAAGGCTGTGTTCATTTTCCGTCTGATGTACTCTTGTACCTCATCTAGGTGGTAGGTAGTCAGCCCGGAGGTAGGCGAATCTCTCACCCTTGTTAAATAAAGAACAGCCTTACTGCTAAAACTTTGGAAAAAAACCCCAGCTTGAAACCTTATTGTGTTCCACTTGGAATGCAAAGTGGTATATAATCAACACTTCAACTGATACGGTACTATCTCACATCATTGTTTTTCATTTCATGTTGTAAGCATACAGACAAATGGTGTGTGCTGGATTTTTCACCTATACACATTTTATTTTCATGTCACGTACAGATTTATAAAAAAAAGCAACAATAACAAAAACAACAGCATCTCCTGATTCCCTCACTTCTTCCCATATATAACTATTGCCTTTCTTACTACAGATGTTTTAAAGATTAATGTAAAAGTACATTAGCGGGCAAATCTGTTGTTTACGGTTTACAGCAAAAGTAAAGATGCATACGAATGATAATGATAATAATGATAATAATAATTTTGTTTTGAAGTGATGACTAGACAGGGAGTCTAAATGTACAACATGTTACTGCCTATTCACGCCTACCTACACTCCGTTTTAGTTTTTCGATTATTTTCTTCGTGACGTTTGGATCATTTGTAGAATTTAGGGAGCGCGTTTCGTCCTATTTGGGATTTGTTAGCTGCTTGTACCTCTACCGGATCCTGCATCTGGCGTTTCAAACTCAAAAACGTCATATAACTCTGCCAGTGGAATGATTGGCGTTGTGTTCAACTCTCAGTAGAGGAACACTATTATTCACTGAGGATATATGGGTGCGTCCATCTGACAAGTCCCAAGTGGGACGAAACGCACACCAATTGAGTAACATCACATTTATTTCATGGTATTATTGAAGCCAACTAGCCAACCAATACGGAGTTTAAGAAATGAAGGCGAACTGCCCTGTTTCGCCTTTTCCATGTGTATTTATTAGTTTAAGTGCCTGTGTGGAGCTAGTTACATTGGGCGTATGATCAGGGAAGTTTATCGTCGAATTTCTGAGCACCTCCCATCTTGGTTTGGCTTTAACAAAACTTTTGAATTGTTATTGTATTTCACCCGACCTCTCGCATAATCTACGAGTACGACTTTTACATACAGGAGCAGCAGCAGCACCAGAGGCAATCAGAATTCATCTGAACAAGCCAAATCTATGTTTTCAAAAGAAATATATGTACAGCCCCTTTCTTTGCTATGGTCAACTACTTAATATGTTTTTACGAGTTGATCACAGATTGATATCAGTTAGAGAACCATTGAAAACCAGGGAGTACTGGACAGCCAGCTGTTTCATCCCATTTTGGGAATCATCGGCAGTACGCACCCACTGGGGTTCGAACCCAAGACGTTTCGCTCAATACTACTCAAGATCAGATGGCCAGCCGGCCAGAAAAGACCAGCAACAGAGGTCTCTGGCAATGAGCGAACCAACCAGGAACCGATTGTGAGACAAATAGGCAGGAAGAAATGGAGATGGATTGGCCATACTCTGAGGAAACCATCAAGTGATATCACTAGACAAGCAATTGCTCTAGTGGAACCTGGCCGAAAGGGAACCGGCGAGTTGGTCGTCAGTGCAAGGGTGACATAGAGGAGGAGGTCATGTGAAGAGGAGATGAAAACGTGTGGGCAGACTTGGAGTCAGGTGAAAACTCTAGCAGAGAACCGAACGCAATGGAGACGCGTGGCTGAAGCCCTATGTTCCTCTAGGAATTAAAGGAAACAACAGTAATAATAATCTGTCTTTACTCTCTTCTCTTGTTTCTGTGTGGTAAATGGAGAGAGAAAGAGAGTGGCACGTTGAAGTGCTGTACATCTGTGCACCAGTCAGTCAGTCACTAACTTCCAGTGAAACTTCCTGTATTGATTAGGTTTGTGTGACCATCTCATAACTCTATATATGTTGCTCAGCTAATGATAATGATGATAATGTTGACGACTATAATTCGTTTAAATTTTCTTTTTATTTTCTTTCAAATGCCTATTTTTAGGTATCCTGTGTAATTGTGTTTGTACAGAATTAGTGAAGTGTATACTGAATTTAATTGATATTACAAAATCAGATTGTGATAATATACTGATCTTATTGGATAAGATTAGTAGCACTGTAAGTTATTGTCATTATTATTATTATTACTACTACTATTGATTTTTGAGAAAAGAATCAAAGCACTGGACGACTTCTTGTCGAAGTTCTTCAGCCTCTGTTATAATTGCATTCTTGTTCATTTAGGTTTTTCGTATTTTTGAAAGTATCAAATCTTCTGTCTGTAATAGTGAATGTATTTTGGTGTGTGATTTGTTTCTGTGAGATGAAAGATGATGCTGAAAGACTTGACTACTCCAACTGACTCGTCGTAGCTTAAGGATAAGGAGTGAAGTGTGGTTGAGCATATTGACTTGACTTGACTTATTTGAGAAGTTACCTCCAGCCTAATAGGACTGACTGCCAACGAAATCTCAACACGCATACATGTGAGATTTGCCAACTTATGTCATCTCTGTCAGAAACGTTATATCCAGCAGGATGGGATGACTGTACTGGAGTTGCTTCTGTTCTTCTTTATCGCTATGAGATAAGAGAGGAAGTCAGTTGAAGAAGTTGTGAAGTTACATCGATTGAGATGGTAGTTAGGGTACGTGTTCCTCAGGCCTAACTACCATCTTCCTCAGTGAGTAGTAACGTTAGCATGATCAAGTCGAAACGTGGAGCTCCACGGTGATGAACTTCTCTTCATATACTACTGATAAATCTTATCAGTAGTACACACCATACCATAATCTACCTCATGATCCAGTCGACCACAGTGAGACATATCGGTGATATACAGTAGTCAGTCTTCTGTTACTTCTGTTTTCACTCTACTATATTCGTTCTTTTTGTTAAAGTTATTTTGAAATTCCTACTAAAATTGATTATAAGGGATTGAAATATTCCATCTCTGTTGGCATGTCGGCTACTTGTGTAGACACTTCGATGACGCTTCTAAAGCAATAACATATCATTTGGTAGATGGTGGTCAACAAGGAAATCGATGATGCTCATTTCGTCCTGTATGTGACTCGTCAACTGGATGTTCCGTCTGAGAGTCGAACACACCAAGTAGCCTTCGTTTCAAACGTCAAAGCTTTATCCACTTAAGTTACAAGAGCCACTTTCTCTTGTACTTCCGGTTGGTTGATCATAATATTGAAGCGAAATTTCTGTTTGATGAAACGATCAGTGCTGAATTCAAGTCTCAGAGGGGAGGGAAACTCCTTCATCACACTCCATGGAGAAGATTGCACATACATCCGTTTGACGAGTCCTGAAATAGGATGGGATGTACACTCTGGCTGGATCCCATTGCTATTCACCACCCATTAAATCACAGGATATGGCTGATGATTGGTTTATTTAGTCGACTTTCAAGTCTACTGGGTAGGTGCGGGGTTCCGAATGCCATTCCACCTACGTGTAATATTGACAACTGTGCGCAGGTGGTAGCCATCATCATCCTCCACATAATAATACGGGTTTCGAACCCAGTACCTTTCAGTTACAAGGCGAGCTCGTAGACCATTCAGCCACTGAAATCATTCGACTCAATGACCAGCCTATGAATTCCAACTTCTACCAGCGAGTATTCGTCCTCACTCCCAACCGGGTTCGAAAACTGGTGGGTACCTACTGCTGATGAGTCCCTATCTAGGGCGAAACAGTCGCTTGTCCAGTAACTCCCTGCCAGTTTTCATTGGTTCTCTAACTGATGTTATGAATCCTTGATCAAACTTGAACCGAAATCAAATCCCTACAAATAAATTTTTGAAAATATTATCAGTGTTCACTCTAAGAATGTACAATTTCCCTATTTTTCCTTCCTTCTCTCTATCCCTCTTCTACTCCCCATTCTTGTTATGTTGTTTTATTTTAACTGTCCATCCTGTTTATTTACAATTCAAATTGTGTTAAATTTGCTCCATTTTTAAAGAGATTGATCGACTAACTTTCAGGTCAATAGAATAGAAAACACAGTGTGGGCATAGTTACTTCCACCCTTTGGCTGCTGCTTAAAACTACATTAATATTGTATAATAACACACATTTCTGATTGTCCTTAGAATTTTATTTATTTCTTTATTTCTTTGCTTATTTATGTCAGTCTGCCTTCCTTTTTTGTATTCATTATTCTTATGTAAACATAATATAAATCTTCTAATTGGAAGAGCTGATTGGATCCAGTTCAAGGTTATAAAGCTGCCTTCCTTTGACCGAAAAGTATTATTATTATCATTATTAACCAATCATTTGGCTTGTTTATTTGTCCATTAGTCAGTGTGTATGTATTTCTCCCCTAATCGATATTGTTTACTACTACTATTATTACTATTAATATCACTATTATTGCTGTTTATGTCATCTCTGGGCGAACAATAGTTCAATGAAATGCTTCTCTCCTTTGGTTTTCGTGAATAACTTGTTGTAGGAGAGGTGGAGGAGCAGGAGCAGGAAGGAGGGCTAATGTATTATTTGTGTTAATATTTCCCTGGGTTCCGAGTGTGAAAACAGTACATCCCCATTTCATTCTGTTCTGATTGACTGGCTGACTGGTTTCAACATACAACTCTGCACAGATGTGCACCAGTTCGAGTCGCCACACTCCCTCCATGTAGCACACAAAGCCAGAGAAGAAGAAATTAAAGTGAAATGCAAAATAGAGACAGTAAACAGCGATATGAGGCAAAAACAATTGTAATATCGAAGAACCTTATAGTTTTATTGGAAAATCATAAGTCACAATGAGTGGATGCATCTGCACTAGCCACTGACAACGAGAATTTTGAGCCATATCACCAGTAATTATCTCCAGCCTTCATTGGTTTTTACCATCTCGAGGAACCCAACCAACCAGTCAGGAAGTCTACACCTTCCTACTTGGTTGGCTTAAACTGATTCCATGTTTTGGTTTGATCACCACTGGCTCTTTTCTAATCTGACCCTATTTCAGCTAACATTGTCCGTTGTTGAGGAAGGCAATCGATGGATAGGGATGCATGTGTAACACATGTCGTAACTATCTCAATCGATGTAACTTAACAGTTCCGTCGATTAATAACCCTTCCTTACCTAGCACTCAACTGAGGCCTAACCTCAATATTGCTCACCCTATTATACTACTTCACACGAGAGAGAGAGAAAACGTAGGTACCTTTGATCAAAGACATCTAGCCAGGTTTTCCATGTCTTCTACTCTCAGTGGTCAGGTCTGACAGCCGTAAAGCAGTACGGAGTGGCCTGCAGAGCGGTACACACGCCCTTTGGTTGACAACCAACCGGATATCACGTCTACTAAGTCAGAGATGGCGTAAACTGGCATATGCGAAACTAGCCTACTGTATCCGTGCAGAGATTTCGTCAGCCATTAACCCACTGGCGTTGCCTGGTGCAACTTCTCAAATAAGTGAAGTGGTCAAGGTGACCTTCCACTTTACCCCCTATTTCTAAGCTAGGAGTCAATGTAATCCAGTCCTGTAACATCATCTTACATTCGACAAAGGGAGCGAATCGCATGCCAAACCTCTGCAGATTGATGCCTAAGGTGTTCAGAAGACTGCTCTATTGATTCAGCTTCTTCACCTAGGAGGACAATATCATCTGTGTATTCTAAGTCAACAAGATTATTCCCCGGTAACAAGTTATTCCCTGAGTCGCTGAAGTCAGCGGTTAGGGTTAATTCCACTAGTACATCTATGATGAAATTGAATAGAAACGGGGATAGTGGGCATCCTTGTTGGGCAACACTAGGTGTCACTAGTTCAGATGACAACTCGCTGTAAGCTCTCATCTGTCTGCATGAGTTCGAGTAGAGTGCAGTCATTCTTTTTTCTACAGTTTTCCCCTGTCCACGTCACCCTCATTTCCCATCCAGTTCTCACTCCACCACTTGTCGTTTGATGCCAACCAGCAGTCTCTTCAGCGTATTGTTCAATCCATCTCTATTTCCTTGTTTTGTGATAGGTTCTTGGTCAGTTGGTTGTTTGGTTAGTTTGTTGTACTGCAGAGTTCCTTGTTTCGCATCGTTTCTGACCGGCCATCTTATTTTAATTGTGGAGAGAAGTGGGAAGGTGTTGAAAAATCATCTGCGATAGCCTTTTGGAAATAATCTTTCTTGGTGATGCATGCCTTCAAGTCTTCTGAACCATATGGAAGCAGCCGTTTACTTTGACATTATAGTGTTAAACATTGGGATCTTGTTCCTTATGCTTAGTGCAGCGAACTTCGAAATTTCTCGCTTTTCAGATCCTCCTTGAATAAATGAAAGAAGTAACTTCCTTCAAGTTTCTCCCACCCACCCAAGACTTTCCAGTTACGAAGCGACCTCGTAGACCATTCAGTGTAATTTGATAAAGCGAAAATTGTTATTAGCTGAGAAGCAAGAAGGTTGAGTGTCTACTTGACAACTGTTAGGTAGGGGTTGTAAATTAAATGACCTGTAAAATTTACAAAGGGAACATGTAAGAGTGAAAATAGTACTGAATCACTTATTAAAAGCAGAAACAAAGAAGTAGAGAAAAGTTCAAAGCCATGATAGACTAAGAGACTAACCTGTCGTTTTTTACACGCAAAGTTCGGGGTTTTATCAACGAATCCCTAGCGACTTTGCCATTCATAGGTGCCGAAACATTACACTCCTCGCACAATTCGGTCTTGCTTTATGGATACATATAATTATGATGTAACTTCTTTGTGCCGTTAGAAATCGATTCTGAGTGACTGCTACACAAACACCCTCCTATTATCCAATGACGGAGTGCTATACGTTTTCAGTAAAAAAATAAATAAAATCAACGGTAAATAAACATTTTTTCCTTTGAAATTTTTTTTCGCCCGACCAACTTCAGTCAGAAAACCATGAGAAACCAGTAAGGAATACTCGATAGCTATCTCGTCCTTGTTTGTGAGTCTTCATAAGTACACAACCATGACCAGACCAGTGATTAAAATCCAACACCTTCAGATTATGGAGCGAGTTCGTTTGCCATTTAACTATTGGGATGGAATCCAGTGACTTATTATTATTATTATTATTAATTCTAACTTTTGCCAGTTCACGATATTTAAAGCTTGACCAGTGTTATCAACGCCACTTGATCAAAAGAAGTGTGTGTGCATTGCTCAGCAGTTCACTCTGTCCTCCTTTATGGTTGGCTCTGAGTGAGACATAACCATTGAAAGTGGAAGATATGAAGACACTGTCTAGTTGTCTTTGATCATAGGTGCCTGCCTTCTACCTCACATATTAAGTAGTATTATACGGCGAGTAATATTGAGTCGGTTAAGCGTCGAGTGTTACTCAAGGGGAGGAAATCAATCGACGAAGTTGTGAAGTCACATCGATTGGGGGACTGGACATGTGTTACGCATGCCTAGCCATCCGTCTACTTCCTCGACGACAGACAGTGTTAGGTGACATAGGATCGATCAGGTTGTTGCAAATGACCTAATGGTGGTCAGCCTAAAACATGGAATCAACTCATGAAATTTCTGACAGTTGGGGGAGGGTATGGGATCGTCGTGATTTTAAGACCTATTGGCTAGAGACAATTAGTGTGATTTGCACCAAAATCGTTCTCAATGGCTGGCACAGATGTACTCATTGTCTGTGACATTCCATAACCATATTCTTCCGTGTTACAATTCTTTCTTCCTCACATTTCTGCTTGTTGTCGTTTTTTCCTTGTCTTCCTTTGTGTGGTTCATGGAGTCTGGCAAGTTAAACTGGTGTACTTCTGTGCAACAGTTCTATCTATGTTGAAACCAGTCAGTCAGTCAGTATTTATCCTCACACACCCGAACTGGTGAACTGAACTACACTGATCACGACTTCTCAGGAGAACTTCAGACAACTGCATCCTATAGAGTCAGTCAGTCAGTGACCAGTGAGCTCCAGATTAATTTTCAAGGCATTGGTTTTTGGGGGGATATAATTGATTTCATCAGTCAATTTAGTTTATTTCCTTAAAATAGGGATAACTGAATGAATAAATAGTAGGCAGTGCTCTAAATGAAGTTATTTACATTCATTGTGTGTGTGTATGTGTGTGAGATAGTGTGTGTCTGTGTGTTTGGTAATAGGGAAATGTTTATTAGACAATTGTTTCGCCTGCTTCCCATCTGTTGTTTACAACACACCTACTACTTTTCCATCAATCATTTTGTCATCTTACTAGTTGTTGGAAATTCCATTTTTTATTTCTTAAAATTTTATTTTTATCAAGTAGTAAACGATGTCCGGAAACAAAATAGTCAGTAACAGTGTAGTAGAAATTTTTATGTATTATAATGTGAGTGTGTGTGTGCTTGGGTGGGTGGGTGGGTGAGTCGATGGGTGGATGCACGTTTACGTGGGATGACGTGATGGATCACTGACAACATTATACTACGCATAGGTTAATGGTGTGATGATGTAATCATTTGAAGGCTGATCTTTAGAAATACACACACAAACATACAAAAGTGGAATCGGAGAGGGCTTATGGGGAATTGTCATCTGAATTGTTAACAACCAGTGGTATCCGTCAAGGATGTCCACTTTCCCCATTCCTGCTTAACTTCATCATAGATATGCTAGTGGAACGACTTAGGAATCGACTTGTTACCAGGGAATAGTCTTATGGACTTGGAATAAACAGATGACATAGTCCTATTAGGGGAGGATGCTGAAAAAAATGCAGAGTCTTCTGAACACCTTGAGCTGAGCAGCAATCTTCGTATGTTTGGCATGCGATTTGCCCCCTGCAAAATGTAAGATGCTGCTACAGGAATGACTGGACTGCGTCAACTCCTAGCTTAGTGATAGGGAGTGAAGTGATAGAACATGTTGACCACTTCACCAACGGATTGATTGGTGACGAAATCTCATCACGGATCCAAAAAGCTCGAGCTACTTTCGCTGACTTACACCGTCTCTGGCGTAGGCGTGACATCCGGCTATCAACCAAGGGACGTGTATACTGCTCAGCAGTTCGCTCTGTCCTTCTCTATGGCTCTGAAACATGGCCAATACGAGTTGAAGACATGAAAAGGTTGACTGTTTTTGATCATAGATGTCTACGATCTCTTTCTCACGTTAGGTGGTATAATGGGGTAAGTAATGTTGACGTTAGGCGTAGAGTGTTTGGCATGCGCATGCCTAACCATGGCCTCCCCCGACGGGCATTACTAGCTGATATAGGTAGGTGCAGGCTGGAAAAGAGTAAGTGGTGGCCAAACAAAAACATGGCCTCATCAATCCATGAAATCCTTGACAGTTAAACTGAGTCAGGTAGGGAGGGAGATGCAGACTTCCGGGTTGGGGCCCGCCCTCAGGACTCTAAAAATCAATGGCTGGAGACACTAGGTGACATGGCTCAAAATCGTTGTCAATGGCTTACGCAGATGTATTCAGTCTCTGTAATCTTTCATATTCCTTTCTACCATTACTCATTCTGTTTCACTCTTATACTTGTCAAAACTCTATTGATTCTCTTCATTGATTTTCTTGTCTACCTTTGTGTGCTCTTTGGTACGTGGTAACTCGAACTGCTGCACTTCAGTGCTAAGTTCTATGTTGAATCCAGACAGACAGACAGGAATCGGAGAGAATTTATTTCCCTTACAGGTGTTTAGTGTGCTTTTTGATTCTGTTCTGCTAAGTGTCTCTCTAATGTTTTAATGTTAATGCCTAATTCTTCAAGTTTTCGATTACTGCATCATTCTACTCCTTGTAAGGATTTTGTTCATTCACAGTTGTTCGTCCTATTCTCTGCTGTTTATATAATATCATTTGTGATAAGGGAATTATTTACAAACGCATGCGTCATCGTTGGTGGAACGGTGTCATGAGGTGCGCGTTATTCACTATAGATGTTTGTATTCTATCTCTTCCATCTTATTTGGTAGGTGTCAGGATGCTGATAAAGTACAGAGTTTTCTGAACAACACACACCTTGAGCAGAAATCTTCAAATGTTGGGCATGCGATTCACTCCAATCATCAAATGTAAGGTGATGGATGCTACAGGACTGGACTACATCGACTTCTAGCTTAAAGACACTGAGTGAAGAGGTAGAGCGTTCTGATCGTTTCACTTATTTAGGAAGTTGCATCAGCCAACGCCAACGGGTTTATTGCTGACGAAATCTCAGCACAGATATATGACAGTTTTCACCGTCTCTGACCGGTATCGACCAAAGGGCGTGTGTACTGCTCAACAGTCCGCTGCGTCCTCCTTTATGGCTGTGAGATATGATGTGGCCATGGAGAGTGGAAGATATGAAAAGCCTGGCTAGCTGTCTGCGTTCTGTCTCCCATGTTAGGTTGTATAGTATAATAGGGTGAGTAATATTGAGTTGTTGAGGTGTCGAGTGCTACTGGGTAAGGAGTGGAAATCAATAGATGAGACTGTGAAGTTAAATCGACTGAGATGGTTAGGACATGTGTTACACATGCCTGGCTTAGCCGTCGCCTTCCTCGACGACAGGTAATGTCAGCTGACATAGGGTTGGTCAGGTTGGAAAAGAGCTAGCACATGGTGGTTAAACCAAAACAATGGCTTCATCAGTCAATGAAATCCATGAAAGTTAGGTTCGGCCAACCGCCTAAGTAGGGAGGTGTAGACTTCCTGGTTGGTGTCCTCGAGATAGTAAACACCAATAGCTGGAGACAATCGGTGATATGGCTCAAAATCGGTATCAGTGATGGCGCAGATGCATCCACTCATTGTGACTAATAATATCCAATAAAACTATATTGTTCTTCGATATTACTATTCTTTTTGCCTCATTCCCTGTTTATTCTCTCTGTTTTGCATTTTTTTACTTTCTTCTTTGGCTTTGTGTGATAAGTGAAGTGTGGCGACTCGAACTGTTGCACATTGGTGCAAAGTTCTAACTATGTTGAAACCAGTCAGTTAGTTAACTTTCGCATAGTCGTGATATTTGAGTGGCTATTGATCAAAGGAGGTGAGTACTGCTCAGCAGTTCTCTGTCTTCTCCTTTATAGCTTTGAGACATAAGGAAGACATGAAAATGCTAGCTATCTGTCCTTAATCGTAGGTGTCTCCGTTCTGTTTGCCGTTTCAGTAGGTATAACTGGGTGACTTATGTTGAAGTTATGCGCCGAGTGTCAGGTGAGGGGGCAAAGTGAGTCAATGAGGTTGTTTAAGCGTGTCGATTAAAATGTCTGGGAGATGTGTTACACATGTAGCTGACACATTGAGCTGACAAAGAATTAGTTAGGGTTGGGGGTGAAAAACTAAAACGTGGGATCAACACCATGGAGTATTTAATTGTCGATTTGAGTCATGTAAGGAGGCTATATATATTTGCATGGTTGGGTTGGTTGTTGAGACGCTGAGATCGGGAATGATTGATTGAGATGACTTAAAAATCATTCACATTGGTGTAGATGTGTTCATACATTTGGGGGGGGGATCTCCTAATATCATTATATCCAATATGTAAGCTTGAAGTTTCTGTAGCAGTGTTGACTTTTACAGGATGGGGTTGCTAGTCTCATGCCCAACCTTTCCTCTTTACCAACTTTATTTCTGGCTTAACGAGGTAAAGGAGTGCGTCGGCCGGGGATCGAGCCCCGGACCATGTGTATGGTTGGCGAGCGTCCTAACCGCTGTGCCACTGACGTACAATACAATATACACAAAGTTATTCTCTATCATTATGTAATCATTTGACAGATATTGTTACATATACCTTGATGGTTCTTTTTTTTCCTTTCTGTGTTCTTTTTTCTAGGTTAGAGAATTGTTTGTGTCGGGTAACGAAAAAACTCATCTGACTGTAGAAGCCTCAGTGAATAAATCATCACAACAGGTAAGTCGGGGGTGGACTCATTAAATTGGATAATTTGGCTGATGTGTGTGTGTGTGTATATATACAAGGTAGCTGGTGAATTTCTATCTCTTTCCGAAGTGGTTTTAAGTACATTGTCCTGACGTGGTTGGCGCGGGCATTATACCATTGAACTGCCGACACGTTCTGTTGCTTAGGGTACAACTAATATGATATATCCCATCGGTTCCTGCTGTTTTCTTAGCTTTCAATAACTTCACAGCATTCAAGACTTCTGCTTTTGTAGGAAGACTGGTTGTTGACGGTTTTTCTGGACGAGTTGTCGGTGATTGTTGATTCAAGAGTCCTTTGAAGTGATAAGCCCAGAGTTTTGTTTGTTTTATTCACTCTCTGTTAATTGGGTTTCTTTCACGATCTTATATTAGTTTTATCTATGTTGATCACTTCCGGGAATATATTTGTCAGGTATTGTATTACACGGGTCGGTGGCACAGCGGTAGATGCTCGCCAACCACGCATGTGGTGCGGAGTTCGATCCCCGGCCACCGAAGCACTCCTTTACCTTCCTAAACCAGTAGTAAGACTGGTTAAAAGAGAAGGTTGGTCATGAGACTAGCAACCGCATCCCATAAAAATAAATACCAGTTCTATCGAAGCTTCAAGCCTCTAGCTTGAAGGCGCCATATGTTCCACTGCGGACGTAAAGGTATTAAAAAAATAATTCTATTACACACTTTTATTGACGTCGTCATGTGTGCTAACGATATTCTGGTTAACAGAAAGTCCCTTGGGCGCTCATTTTGCTTCCTTCCTCTTTTTTCTTGAAGTAAAGTAGTCACAAATGTTATTCTTTCTTTACTTGTTATTGTCGCTAGATTCCCTATTTTACTTGCTACTTTTTATTTGCTCCCCAACTGACACTCATTTGTTTTGCTCAATGTGTAAATATGGTTCATTTGCTTTAAATGTTTACAATCAATTGTAAAAGTGACCACCACACACTGACTTTTGCTAGAGAACTATTGGAAACCGGTTAGGAATACTGGGTATTTGTTTCGTCCTCATTTAGGACTCTTCAGTAATACACACCCATTAACCCACTGGGGATTGAACGTGGGCATTTTGGTTACAAGACAACTTAGTTGACTGTTCAACCACTGGGAGGGAATTCTAACCTTATGAAATAATAGAGAAGATTTGTAGCTCAGGTGGATGATTTGCAATTAATAGTGTTCTCTGAGGAGCTGGTTGGTTTAGTTGCGGAGCTTTCATCGTCCTCCTTCCGGACAACATCTTCAGCGCAATATTTAGCATAAAGTGAAATGATTTAAATTTCTTCATGAGTGATAGAACTGCGTCTCCCGGTAACCATCTTTGCATATGTATTGACTTGGATTTTAAACTTACTCGTCACGTGATTTACTTCTTATTAGTTGGTATATTTGGTCTACATTAACGTGTTTGTTAATTACATATTCGTTTGAGTACCAGGCTTCTAGGAATTCCCTGGCACTTTTGGTGTTTCCTCTGTCAAAATTTCGACATTATCCCAGTTATCAAACTGATGTTCATAATTATCTGTATGCATTGATATGAAACAGGAATATATATCATGTCTTTTCACAGCTAATTTGTGTTCCTGGATTCTGATTCGAAGGGGACGCCCAAACCTAAAGATTCAACAGAAAAAGAAGATAAAATTAATACCATTTACAAAATAAATTGTACGAACTGTAACAGACATTACATCGGCCAATGTGGGCGTGAAAACTAAATCACATGTGACGAGAAAGTTTAAAAATCCAAGTCAATAAAAAAATGATCAATACAGATGTAAAGATGGTTACCGGGAAACGCAATTCTATCACTCACTTATGGAAAATTCAAACCAGTTCAATTGTTGGTTTGTAGGGATTTGATTGGTTACAGGATTTCATCATGAGCTGATATTGGTTAGAGAACCATTAGGAAACCTGGAAGTACTGAACAGCCAAATGTTTCGTCAGCCTAGTTTTGGACTCTTCATCAGTACGCACCCACCGGGGGTCGAACCCAGGAACTTCTGGTTACAAGGCGAGCTCGCAAACCATTAAGCCATTGGGACCCGATCCAATGGCTAGTCCATGAATTCTAACTTCTGCCAATTCACGACATAGCGCGACCCCTAGCCAATGTCTTCGGCGAGTATTTGTCCTCACACCCGACCCTGCTGCACCCTACTGGTCACCACTTCTCACTAGAACCCCTACCTGAATAGGGCAAGTCGCTAGTGGGCATCTCACTTCATGCTAAAAATTGCGCTGAAGATGTCTAAAAGGGGAGGGGGCGAAAGCTGTGCAACTAGACCAACCAGCTCAGAGAACACTACTAATAGCAAATTCTAACCTTTACTAATTTGCTATGAAAAAGCGTCACTTCCAGCCAATACAACATTGGCGAGTACCTGTCCTTTCGTCCAGTTTGACGGACCTCCCTCCCCTGCCCCATGCCGGTTTGTGATCACGACTTCCAGATAACTTCCTCGTGTAGAATCAGTCGCTAGTGAACACTAGACTCAAAACTATAAGCCAATAACACACCGATAGTAAGTATCACCAGTCCTCATCATATAATAAATGGACAATTTTGTGTCGGATAACCGAGTCTTAGATAACTAACAAGACCGGAATACGTTCGACCGATATGTGAAGACTCTAGAATATCTGGATTTCGCATACGATATATGTCTGATTTGATACAAACTCGAAGACTTGCAGGCGAAAAGCAACAAACTGGCTGCAGAAGCAGATGGCGAACAAAAGACTCCAGGTGAACATGGAGAAGGTGGTGACGGAGGTGATAAAGATAACCAACCAACAGCAACAATAACCAGATTTGACGGAGGTTACTTCCTTCACTTATCTAGCCAGGAAGCACGGTTTCAATCACAGGCAGTTGGAATGGATAAAGATGTCAAAGCCGATCAGCTGGAATCAGAAAAGCAAGATATGCCGTCATCAACCTGAATTCAGTTTGGAAATCTTCTTCACTCAGCCAGCATTAACAACAAGATTTGGATTCTGTTCAACACAAATGTGAAGTCAGTCAGTCAGTCAGCCAGTGCTTCTTTATGGGTCAGAAACTTGCACTGCGAAAAGGATTTCCAACAGCCTGTTGAAGAATTTTATCAACAGCTGCCACCCTCGCTAGCTGGCTCCATACTGAAGATCGAATGGCCAGGCGACGGGTCAGTAAGAATTAGCAAGGAGAAACTCTGGCTGGGGACAAACCAATCAACCAAGACCTAATTGCTCAACACATATGTAGGAGAAAATGGAGATGGATCGCGCATATGTTGAGAATGCCGTCGAATGACATGCGGGGGATCTTGTGAGTTGGAGGAGGAGATGAGAGATTATGGTCAGTTGTGGAGCCAGCCAGTTGAAGATGACAGCAGAAAATAGAAGAAAGCATAGATGTGTTGTTAGAGTCCTATGTTCTACTCAGAACACAAGGGAATAATAATGGCTAACTAGCTAATCGACTAATCTTCGTTCCACCAATCAGAGATTGTGTTTCCCTAATTTATTTTTCAAAAAGAAGGAAAGGCAGTTGTGTTCACACCCTGTCATGTGATACGTATATCTATGAACTTAATCAAATTATGATACGGTAAATTCTTTATTCCCTTTTGACCTAAATATTTTAAATTTCATATCATTACATGGGTGTGAATCACGCAGAGAAAAGGAAAGCAACCGTGATAATTGTGTCAGGCTTATCTCCCTAATCAATTTCTTAATACCTACCTGTACGTGTTAATTTATTGGTATGCTAGCAGTTAAGCACGATATGTTTGTGATAATAGAGACCATGTTACCATACTCGAAAAAGCTGAAGAAGTAGGTTAAGGTATAAGAAAGCTTTTTTTATATTTTTACTAGTTGATCACGGATTGATATCAGTTAGAGAACCATTGAAAACCAGCATTGGAGTACTGGACAGCTGCTGTTTCATCCTAGTTTGGGAATCATCGGCAGTACGCACCCACCGCCAGGGTTCGAACCCAGGACCTTCCGGTTACAAGGCTAGCCAGCTCGTATACCATTCAGCCATCGGGACCCGATTCAATGGCCACTGCATGAATTCTAACTTCTACCAATTCGTGATTTAGCGTGACTCCAACCATTGTCGTTGGTGGGACATCCATCTATACACTTGACATCTAATTGGACCTCACTGGTCCCTTACAGAGTCAGTCATCCTTGAACAACGTCCAACTCGTCGTTTCCGTCGACGACGATTTCCACCGACAGCTTTCTTGGCCTGGTGTGTGATGTCCACTTAGTGCATTTTTACTGGGCACGATAGGTTTTTGATTGATTCGTTTGCCAGATTTCCTCATAGTTTACGCTTTCGCGGTCGGCCATCTGACCTTCAGTATGGAACCTAGAGCAGGACGGTGTTGATAAAAAGTCTTCTGTAGCCAAGCTGGAAATGATTTCTGTGACCATACACAGAAGCAAGTGGCTGGGCAGCTTGACATAAATGTGGTGAAAATTTGAGTGTTGTTCGCAGCGCGGAGCAGTGCAGTCGATTCCCGCCTTTCCGATTCTGACTGGCTGGCTGACTGTAACATACACTCATTCGTGCCGCCCCCCCCCCGTAATCGAAACTCTGCTGTCTGGAATAATAAAAGAGGTGTGAATTCCTTCACATTATATATATAATCAAAATGGTGTCCTTAAAAGGTCGACTGTAGATGAATCCTGTTTTTATTCAAACATGCCTTTTTGTGGATGTACGCATTTGTCTGTGTGTGTGTGTGTGCGTGTGTTTCTTCTAAATTGTTGTTAATTTACATATGATTACCCTTAAACGAGGGCACGTATGATATTTACACATCTAATTTCCCTTTCTGCTGTCAAATTTATCCTCATCGAAAGGAAGAGAGAATGTGAGTGAATGAATGAAGGCGAGTATGTGTTGATAGCTATGTAACATACACATATTTCATCAAATACGATCGATCATAGAAGAGAAAAACAGATTTCATTGAAAAAGAA